CTGCATAACCTAGGAGACATGAATAAACTGCTAAAAGCAGACAGCCAAGCAAGACTGAATCACAAAATGACGAGAAAATCTGAACAGACCAATCAGTAAGGAGATTGAATCGGTGATCAAACACCTCCTAACAAAGAATAGGCCAGGATATCTGATGCCTTCGCTGGTGGATTCTGCCAAACATTTAAGGAAGAATTAATGCTGATTCTTCTCAAACTCTTCCAGAAGAATTCAAGAGGAAGGAACACTTCCAAACTCACTTGATAAAGCCAGCATTACCCTGATACCAAAGCCAGACAAGGACATTGCAAGAAAACAAAATGATAGGCCAATATCCTTGATGAACAGAGATGCAAAAATCCTCACCAAGATGTCAGCACACCAAATTCAACAGCACGTTAAAAAGACTATGTGCCGTGATGAAGTGGATTTGTCCTTGGTGGACGTGACAGCCCCTCTGTTGGTGTGGTCTGGAAGACAAGATTAGAGCCAGACAGAGCCTAGGCTGTCAGTCCCAGCCAGAAGGGGACCTGCGGGTCCCCTTCTGAACCTGGGTCCAGCTCCCCCAGGTTGTAATACTCACGTATGGCCACCAGGGGCGATGTTTCCTGCCAAGGCTGCTCTTCTCGGGCAGGCGGCCTGGAGGTAACCAGTGACTTTCATCCATGGCGGGCTGATGCCCTCACCTGAGTATCCAGAAGGGCATTCAGATGCTGGGGCCCAAAGAGAGCACTGCACCCTCCCACCCTCCGTTCTCTGCAAGACCCCAGCCAGCACCAGGATCTCCTTTGAAGGTTACTCTTGCTCCTGCAGCCAGACGGAGAGTCCTGGTCAGTGCTGGAAAGGCAAAGCTCCCAGGTGCCAGTGGGCAAGATGCAGGGTAAGAACTGTGGCAGCTGGACTCGGAGTGACCCACCTACATATGTCCAGTGAGTTTTGGGCCCTGTATGGCCCGCTTTTCAAGACTGAAGCTTGGAAATCTGGATTTTTACAGGAAGTTTCCAGGGCAACACACAGACAGATGGAAAGCACAGCACGGGTCACGCCGGGGGTCTCCTGGCCCCTGGGCAGGCGGTGCGAGAGCCCTGGAGGCTCTGGCTGACTGGCTGAGGGGTTTGGGTGGTGTTTGTGGGTTCCAGACCCCGGCTGAGCCCAGGCCTCCGGCTTCTGCCCTCGCGCTTGCTTCTCTGTCCTTCCCTCCAAACCCCCAGTGCAGACTGGGGCCCTACACTGGGGCTGAGGTCAGCGCCCCACTGTGGGCAGGAAGTCCCTCTGAAGCTCCATGTCCTGTGTCCCCATCAGACGGTGGCGGTGCCTGCGGCTGTGGACACAGTGCCCTGAGATGAGTTTTGAAGCACTCCCGGCACCTGCCTGGCACAGGCTCAGCCACCAGGATGCACCACGTCTCCATGGATTCCACCACGGTTTCCACCCAGCGTGTTGCTTTCATTCACAGATAATGTCAGGCCACGGAGCGGAGAGGGTGGTCTGGGGAATGAGGGTCTGCATTCAGAGCCTCAGAAGCCCTGGCCTGAAACCAGCCCACAACTGCCCAGCCCCGCTTGGCTGGGTGGGGGTCACTTCAGCAGCTCATTCCTGGGAATGCCTGTGTCCAGATGGCCTCAGGCCTGGACATCGGTGTCAGGCAGACGGGGGCAGCCACCTGCTTCTTAGGAAGGACCACCCTTACCCTGGGAGGGTATCCCTTCTACTTTGGCTGAGGATAGAACACATTCTGTCTTCATGAAATCCTGGGAATATTCAGTGGTAGTTTTCTTTTTGAGGTTCTTATCGAAAAAATAAAATCTTGGCAGTGTAAATTCAGCCCTTGAAAATTGTTCTGGAAATTTCCCTGGCCCATGAATCACCTGGGCCTGGCACCTGTTGGCTGTTATTGGAAGCAGATGCTTGGTGCTGCAAAGAAAAATCGGCACCGAGACAAAGGATCTCTCGGCAAGCAATTTTTACATCCTGTAGGAAGGATACTCTCGCTAGCCGTCTTGCTACGAGAGTCCAGTGAACAAAGGAAAAGCAGACATATTTATCCTTCCTGCATCGTGGGTCCTCCTGACTGCCGTGTCTGATCTATGTCGGTTGGAACCAGACTTCACAATCTAAAACTGAACTTGATTGGCTAATTAACTTCAAACTCTCTTGGGTAGGTAAAGGCAATGGAGAACAGAAGGAAAGGAGGAAGTCCAAATAAGGAAGGGACAGGAAGTTGCTTGCGAAAGGACTTAAAGAAGTCATAGATAGCATCCATGTCTCGGTTAAAGTACAAGGACATAAAATGTACTACGTGCCTGTGAGCTTGTCTGACAGCTACATAGGACAGGGCTTAACAAAGAGTTCCTAGCAAAAAGCAAGGAGGCTTTGAAGAAAGTCCTTAAAGCAAACTCTTATTTCTTAACACAGGATTCATTCTTTAACGGGAAAGGAAACTTTGAAAAGGAACTTTTGACTCTCTACAGCTGTGTTCTACCTCAGTTTTCCCATCTCCACAATGGGTAGCAGTTGTTGCTGTTTCATTTGAGATGACGCCCGCAAAGCCTTCAGCACGCTGCCTGACTCCCAGGAGGCCCTCAGAGGTGACGGGGACACTGCCTTCCTCCCGGTCAGTGGTGACGTTGGCTGTTACAGTTTGGGGTGCTGTTGTGCATGTCCTCTTTCGCAGGGCGGTACGCAGAACTCGGTGGAGGAGCCTCCTCCCCCAGTGCCTGCGCTCATTTCTCCCCAGACTTCTCCCTGGTCAAAGGGCAGCCTGCAGGCACCTCCCTGTCCTGGAAGCCTGGCCAGCAAGTGGGGGCCAAGGGCTGCAGAGCGGGCAAGCTTGAGCCAGAGGAAGAGTCTTGGGGTTGGCCCAGGTATGTCCAGGCAGAGGAGCAAGTCCGCCACAGTTCTCACTGGAGCAGTGGTGGGGAGGCTGGGGAGGCAGCCCCTCACTCCTGAATGTCAAGTCAACTGTGACTTTGGTTTGCACCACGGTTTTCTTCAGAGTGCACTAAAAGTAGAGTAATACTTACTTTACGAGGCCAGCATTACCCTGATACCAAAGCCAGATAAGCGCATTACAAGAAAAGAAAATTATAGACCGATATCCTTGATGAGCATAGATGCAAAAATCCTCATAAAAATATTAGCAAACCAAATTCAACAGCACGTTAAAAAGACCATGCACTGTGGTCAAGTGGGTTTATTCCTGGTGGAGGTGACGTCTTTGAGGTGGCAGCCCCTCTGTTGGTGTGGTCTAGAGCTGGACTGAAGGAAATTTACTCAGGGAAATTTACAAGGGAAACTGACATGGCAGGGCTGCTAGTCTCCCATTCCAAGATGAGAAAACTAAGTCTCAGCAAAGGGAGAAGCGGTGAGACCAGTTGGAGGTCGTACAGGACCCTGTCTTGGCCTCCTTGTCCGGAGCCTGACCCCTCCAGAGCTGTGACTACCAGTCCCTGGGGGGGACAGCCTTTCCACCTCTTCCAGACCCCAGCTGGAAGCTAATACGCTCTGCTGGATGAAAATCCTGTGAGGCTAACAGCCAGCCAGGACCGGCCCCCAGCCACCAGCCCTTGTTCAAAGTACAGGGTCATTGTGCTGCCCTCTTGGCTTGTGACAGTTTTGCAACAGCTGCCACTTGTCTTTTGAGTATGGTGATAGGAGAGGTGTGGGCTACCCGGCCACCGCCCTGGGGCTGTGGTGACTGCTGTGTCTCTCTGCCATGCACCTGCATGTCCCAGGACTCCTGGGGGAACTTGGGCCACACTCCTTCTTTACCCTCTTGAGCTCATTTGTCACCCTGCTGGGTGAGCACAGACCTAGCTCAGGCCGCTGGACAGGCTACACCATCTGCCCCAGGATCCCCACACCACCCCAGGCAAGCCTCAGACTGGTGGGGCCAGCTTTCCACTAGGCAGCCAGGGGCCTAAGCCAGTGGTCCCTTTGCCCTTGAGGCAGGGACTGGCAGCACGTGGTCAGGCCCAGAGCCCAGGCCCCCTCCTCTAAGAAGTCCTCCTGGATTCCTTGCTGGAAGGAAGCCAGCCTCATGGTGTCTTGCCGCTCCCTGGATCTGTCTGCTTCGTGGACCCTGAGCCGCTCGAGGGCAGGGACTGGGTCTTAGATGTTGCTGCGTTTCCCAACAGTGCTTCCTATACATCAGGCGTTCTGTAAATGTAGAGGATGGACATGCTGGCAGCAGGACAGTTGGACATCCTTGGTGCAAATAAGAACGCAACGATTTGTTTGATTGGTATTAACGACAGCAGCTTACTATATGATACGTCCGGTATTGGAGCTGGCACCGCTACATTATTCACAGACTTCAGGCTGCAGCGTCCCGTCTGCCCTCCCTACCAGCTTGCTGTGTGGCCCTCTCCCTGGGCCCTGCTGTACCCAACAGTCAATGGACCCGGAATCCCTGCCCTGGGGCCTACATGCTGCGGCAGTAAAACAGCAAGTGGCTTGGGGGCATCTCCTCAAGCACGGGAGGGGTCTGAGAGCCCAAGAGAGCAGGAGCACACAGATCATGAGCCCCCATCCCTGGGAAGCTGACCCAGTCCTTCTCACCCGCCTCTGAAGGCAGTGAGCGCCCTGTCCCTGGGGGTGAGCAAACTGGGGCATGTGCTGAGATGACCTCACCAAAGCAGCCTCCCTTCATTGGACAGGCCCGTGGCCCCTGGCCCAGGCTGCTGCTGACCCCACATTTCCTGCCCACCAGGCCTGTGCATAGCTCCTTTTGGGCGTGGGCAGCTCCGGCAGGCTCCAGCAGGCAGGGGTGCCTGGGTTCACTGCAGCACTCCTGAGGTGTCTGTTTCAGAAGTGAGGAAATGAGGATCGGAGGCGAAGGCTGACTGCCAGGTCACCCACGGGTAATGGGGCTTGGTGTTCACAGCTGTTCTCTGCCACCCTCAGAGGGAGCTGCCCACTGGGCTGTCCAAGAAGCCGTGGTGGGCGGTACGCCCCGCCCAGATCCTGGGCGGAGACAGGGCTCGGGCAGCGAGGCCGAGGCCGAGGCCGGGGCCGGGGGGCAGGGACAGCCTGGGGTTCTGGCCGGGCCACTGTTTGGGAAGGAAGAAGGTGAAGGCACCGCCACTGGGTCAGGCACTCTTACGGTCCGAGGCGCTCTGCAACTGTCAAGAGGTACTCGGAGGTACACCCGCAGGGAGGGACAGGGCTGGGGCCTCCCCTACGTGGGCGGGGCAGGGCCTGGCTGGAGCTGGCTGGGACCTCCTGCCTCTGGCTGCAGGGACCATCCAGCTAGGTGGGCAGGACCAGGGTTCGTCATATGGGCAGCTGCCCCTGCTGCTGCTGCTTCTTCGTCCAACAGTCTGCCCTCCCCCACCAGGTGAAGGTGCCAGGCGCTGTCCTAGCCCCCCTGCCACCCTCTCAGGCTGGGAGGAGGAGGGCGTTCCTGGGCCCCAGCTTTGCAGTGAAGCTAAATTGTTGCTTAAGGCCCCAGTGCTGTGACAAAACCCCCACCCGTCTGTAGGATCCCAAGCCGGGGGCTGTCCTAAGCCCTCACTCCTGGAAAGCTGACTCAGGGGCAGGAGAGAGTTGGAGGGGGCTGGACAGCAGGTTCATGTGGAGGCAGCTGTTTCCAGGGAGGTGGCAGTCAGGAAGGGCTCTGGGCTGCCCATACCCAGCCCCCAGTCTGGCAGTCAGAAGAGCCCTGACTGGCCAGGCAGGTGGTGAAGGGGCACGTGGCAGCCTCCAGCTCCAGCAGCCTTCGCTTCGGGCACAGTCGGAAGGAGGAGGGAGGCTTTTGTCCAGAGCTGACCAGGTGTGCTGTGCTGTGGACAGCGCGGTATGGTGGTGGGGGGTGGGCGGGAGTGCTTGGCCTTGGAGAGCCTGTCTCCATGCCACTCAGGCTGGCTTCCCCCTGGTAGGGCACCACTCCTGGGAGCTCCTGGAAGACTTCGGACCTTCAAGGACTGACGGTATGTACAGACACGTGCAGGGGGCATGCCTCCCTCTCCTATTTACTGCAGGCAGTAAATTGAGTTTAATTGAATTAATTCTTAGTTTAAAGACTTGAGGCCGGGCACAGGTGGGCTGACACCCTGAGGGTCGAGAGGCTGAGGACAAGCTCCAACCCCCCTGCACTCCCCTACGCCACTTGGACTGGGGCGATGGGGCAGGGGGCTGGGTGTCCCATCTCAGGGCTGCCTGCCGACACCCTGCGGCCACTACTGTAGCATCCACACTGCCTCTCCCTCCTCCTGGCTCCCAGTCTGGGAGTGCAAGCGACTCCAGCCCTCTCCACAGCTCCCGCCCCGCCCCACCCTGCTGCGCTACCACCACAGCCTCCTCTGGGCGCTCCTGGCTCCCAGGTCCCGTCCCCACACCGCACACCTGCGGTCTGCCCAGCACAGACCTGTGGGGTCCCAGGGCTGCTCGGCCCCGCAGGAGCATCTTGAGCTCTGAAAGGGTTGCGGTAGGGCCCCGCCCAACCCCACCTCCCCCAGCCCCTCCTGTCCCAGCCCCTCTCCCAGCTCCTTCTCCCCCAGCCTCTCCCAGCTCCGCCTCTCCCAGCCTCTCACCGTCTGTGGTCTGGGCTGAGTGACCCTGAGATCCGAGTGCCTCCTTTTCAGCTCTTGGTCCTCTGTTCTCAGTCCTCTCACCGGCCTCCCTGCCCGGTCTCCCCAGCCTTGCTCCCCGGCCTCCCTGCCCAGCCTCATGGGCAGCCCAGCTTTCCTCAGGTCACACTTTGGACCTCTGCCAGCCATGCCAGCCACTCTTCTCTGCCTCCCCTTGTGGCCCCAACCCCTACCCCTACCCAGAGCTTGTCGCTGCCTGTCTTTTCCATGGGCTGGCAGAGGCCCACTCTCACCACGCTTGCTCCTGAGCCCTGACAGAGCCTGCTGCATACCAGGCCCTTAATACATACATACATATATACTGAATGAATGAATGAATGAATGAATGAATGACATGGGGAGGTGGCAGGAGAAAGGCTCTGAGAGGTAGCACCATAGGGCCCTTATTCCCCTGGGTGCTCAGCACAGCCCCCACCCTGTCCCCTCTGCATCCCACCCAGCGCCAACTCTCTCCCCAGCTCCCTGCCATGCTGAGGCCTGGAGCCCCCATGGCCTCACTGAGCCGAGCCCTGCGTGTGGCCGCTGCCCACCCTCGCCAGAGCCCTACCTGGGGCCTGGGACCACGCAACCTGTCCAGCGCAGCCGGCCCCACAGCTGAGAAGAGTGTGCCATATCAGCGGACCCTGAAGGAGGGACAGGGCACCTCGACGGTGGCTCAAGGCCCAAGCCGGCCCCTGCCCAGCACCGCCAACATGGTGGTCATTGGTGGAGGCAGCTTGGGCTGCCAGACCCTGTACCACCTGGCCAAGCTGGGCGTGAGTGGAGCGGTGCTGCTGGAGCGGGAGCGGCTGACCTCCGGGACCACCTGGCACACGGCGGGTAGGGACCAGGGGGCCAGGTAGGGGCTGGGAGGGATAGGATACAGCGAGGCGCCACAGCCCCTTGCTAGCTGGGCTGGTTCTGGGTTCACAACCACCAGCCTGCTAGAGGCAGCTGAGCTGGAGGGGAGAGACCCTGGGGAAGGGTGCGTGGCTGGTCTGTAGGTAGGCGGACCCGGGGGGACCACTTGCCCTCCCAGTCTCTGAAGAGCTGTGGTGGGAGGAGGGAGCAGATGCTGCTTGTGTGGCTGGGAGAGTGAAGCTGGAGCCAGGGCTGGAAACCCCAGGCAGTGGTCCAGAGAGCAGAAGCCCCTTTCCCAGACAGAGCCACCAGGGTTGAAGGCGTCCCAGGGAGTAGAGGAGGACTGATGGGGACCATTGGGGGTGAAGCAGACCTGTGTCCTCCATGAGCACCAGAGGCTTGCACAATTCCCATTCTCCTAACCAGCCAGTGTGCATATATTAAGCACCTACGGTGTGCATGCCTCAGGACAGACAACCTTCTGCCTTCACCCTTCAACCATGCGTGTCCTGTAAATCGGTCCTCCTGACTTGCAGTGTTGACCAATTCCTGTGGTATAAACACTCCCAATGTGGCCAACAGCAAGCCACCAGTGTGAGGTCACTGACTGTGGAGCTGGGAAGAGGTTTACCTCCCGGCTCCTGAGAGCTGATGCCAGCCGGCTCCCCCATGCCACTGCTCCAAGCCCTGCTTTTCCCTTCTCGCTGGCCCTCCTAGCTGGGATGTCACAGCCTCTTTCCTGATGTGTCACCGGCCACATCCCTGGCCTGCCACCTCTCAGACTCAGCTGCTGGAGGGCAGCCTTTTTGGGGGAGAGTGCAGATTTAGGCTTCATTCAGTAGTGGTTTGGGTTGGTGCCCCAGACCCCCACTCACCTGCTCTGTGACCTTGGCCACAGGACTATCGATGCCACCTTAACTCGATCTATAAGAGAATCACACCCTCACTGGGCACGGCAGGCTTGGCACACAGTAGGTGCTCCAAAATGGGGGCCTTTGCTATGTCACTCCCTGAGCTGCCCACGGGCGGGACCGCCCTCACATTCATCTTGGTCCAGTTATTTCCTCTTAACAAACTCTCCAGGCCCCACGGGTTCCGCAGAGAAAGACCCTGGGTATCCCCTGATACTCACCTGGGGGAAGGAGGTGCAGCCCCCTCCCTGGAGAGTGACGGCCCCCACCCTCTCTGGCAGGCCTGCTGTGGCAGCTGCGCCCCAGTGACGTGGAGGTAGAGCTTCTGGCCCACACTCGGCGTGTGGTGAGCCAGGAGCTGGAGAAGGAGACGGGGCTGCACACGGGCTGGATCCAGAACGGGGGCCTGTTCATCGCGTCCAACCGGCAGCGCCTGGATGAGTACAAGAGGCTTATGTCGGTGTGTGTACCCCTGCGGGGGGCAAGGTGGGGGACCTGTGTCCGTGGGTGCACTCCCTGGGGGGTCACATAGGTGGGTGCACCCCCTGTGGGGGATGGGTGGGCTCCCTGTGAGTGTGGAGGTACCTGGGGGGCTCATGTCCTTGTGTGCAGCCCCTGTGGGGCTGGGGATGGGGGGGCTCTTGTGGATGAGTCTGCCTCCTGCTGGGTGGGGGGTAAGGCTCATGTCGGTGGGCATCCCTCTTGCCAAGAGGGAAGAGGACATGCCACAAGGAAGGAGCCCCGGCAGGTGACAGATCTGGGTTCCAGCCCTAGCACTGCCCCTTGCTGGCTGGGCCACCTGGAGAAAGTGACTTTGCCAAGCTTCATTGAGAATTCCCAGACAGAGGATCTGATTGGCTCAGCTCTTGCCTGTCCCCAGTGGGCCATGCCTGAGGACACTGATTGGCTATTCTTGGGCCAATCAGATGTGGGGGCGTGGTCTATCTGACTCTGAAACCGAGGACTTTGGTCTCTCTTGGCGGCTGGTCTGCCTGGGAAACCTCTCAGGCCCAAAATATTGGTCCTGTGGGTGCTTTATTTTATATAATAGACACTTTGCGCCAGTAACTTCTTTGTCAATGGCACACATTATTATCACCCCCACTTTTCTTGAGTGAGCCTGAGGCGACTTTGCTGCAGGTTGCTCACACAGCTGGCGAGGGTCGGGTTGGCACAGGCAGCCTGGCACCGGAGCTTGCCTCAATGCAGTATCCCCTGCTCCTTAACTCTTATGCTGAAGCGGATTCAAGGGACAGGCTGCGGGGGGTGTGGGCACCAGCTAAGGCTTCTGGGAGACAGTGGGGTTGGGGTTTGCAGTGGATGCCCAGCTTGGGGAGGGGGGTGGCCCGGAGGTCTGCTTCCCACGGACTCAGTTAATTTCCTCTGGGTCCCCCTAGCTGGGCAAGGTGTATGGTGTGGAATCCCATGTGCTGAGCCCGGCGGAGACCAAGACTCTGTACCCGCTGATGAACGTGGACGACCTCTACGGGACCCTGTATGTGCCACATGATGGTACCATGGACCCCGCTGGCACCTGTACCACCCTCACCAGGGCGGCTGCTGCCCGAGGAGCACAGGTCTGATGGCCACCCAGCTCTGGGTCCCTGCTCCCAGCTCACTCCTCCTTCCTTAGAATCCCGAGAGCAGAAGGCGAGAGACAGGCACCATTCTCTCACTGCTGAGTGGTGTTGGGCCACTGAGGACCTCGCTGAGTCTTCTGGTCCACACCTGCCAAGGGGAGGCTATGGCTTCGGTCTGTTCACAGACATCAGGTCAGGCCGTGGGTGCACGCATCTCCCATACCACTTCCTCTGTGGCTCAAGCAAATCCTCTCAAAAGCCTTTCTTGCAATTTTTATCTGCATTTATTTCAACTCTGTCCATCACTGTAGAACAATTTTAAGAAGACAAGCCAAAAAGAAGTCAAAATCACCCAGCAGTAACTAGCATTGACATTTTAGTATGTTTCACTCCAAATATTTTTCTATGAAAATATATATGTATGCAAAATAGAACCCAGCTCTTATTGTTTGTGACTTTTTTAACCAGGCAGTAGACTGCAAACATCTTTTTATTAATCAAATGTCTTGCTTTTAAAAAATAAGTCAGCTACTTTTTCACGTTATGAAAAGAGGGCTCCCCGCACAAGTCAAGTGAAGGAACTTGCCCACCTTTCAAGTTCTCGGAGTCGGGGCATGGGTGGGTCTAATGTTCTGGTGCTGTGCTCATCCTGTCTCCCTGACCGTATCACAGGAGGCCGGCTGCTAGCAGAAATAGCGTCCACAGCTCCCCTCTGGGAGGAGGGGTTGGTTGGGGGTGGTAAGCACCCCCAGGGAGTCCCGTGGAGTTTTAGAAGCAATTCCTCTCCATCCCAGGTCATTGAGAACTGCCCAGTGACCGGCATTCATGTGCGAACGGATGATTTTGGGGTGCGGCGGGTTGCAGGCGTGGAGACAGAGCACGGCTCCATCCAGACGCCCTGCGTGGTCAACTGTGCAGGTGGGAGTGGCATCTCTCCTGACTCCTGTGTGGCCATGCTGGCTGCTCCCTAAACCTGCTCCCGCCTCTGCCGGGCCTCTTTCTGGGTTGGGGAGCCCCCGTTAGGGCAGACAGTTCTGCAGAGGCAGCCTGTGTTCACTTGAGGGGCAGCCCCCACCCGGTGTCAGCAGAGCTGAGTCGTCTGTGCTCTGCCCGCAGGAGTGTGGGCAAGTGCCGTGGGCCGGATGGCCGGAGTCAAAGTCCCGCTGGTGGCCATGCACCATGCCTATGTCGTCACCGAGCGCATCGAGGGGATTCAGGTAGGTGGACAGCCCGGGTTCTGTGTCAGTCTATGTGTTGGGGGTGCACAGAGACCTGGCTCTGAACCCCAGCTTGAACCCAGGTGGTAGAACCCTTGTGGGTTCCCTCACTGGCCCAAGCCTCAGTCACCTCATCTGTGAAACGGGAATTGTAACACGGGGTGTTTCCAGGTGTCGTGAGGATTAGATTAGGCAGCACAGGTGTAGCCCTGATGGGGCTGGCCCCGCCTTGGCCCTCAGGGCCTGGCCTCTTCTCGATGCCCAGAACACAGTCTAGCCTGTCCTATGTGGTGGAGCCAGCCTGGCTTTTTGCCATGTTCTGTGCCCAGGAGTTTCAGGGAAGCCCCAAATGTTTGTACTCTCCCAGCGTGCCTGGGACTCCTGTCTCTGAGGGTGCTGGTTCCTAGCACAAAGAACCTCTCTGAGAGCCCTCGGCCAAGGGCGGTTGGGGGCCTGGGTGCACCTGCTGGCACCTGGGGCTGGGCGCCTCCCACCCTCTCTTCTCTACTGTCCTCAACTCCTCTCTCCTGTGTTGGTGGCTGCGAGCTTCCTGCCACCTTGTCCCCGATTGCCCTCTCCATCCATTCATCACACGGTCCTCCCTTCCCCATTCCTCTCTGCCCAGCCCCTGTCTCTCCATCCATTTCTCCATCCACCTACTCCTGTATCCATCCCCCCTCCCATTTGTCCACTGATCCCTTCACCCATCCCCCTTCCCTTCATCCATTCCTCCCTCCAATCGTTCCCTCCCTCTATTCATCTTGCCATCTCTCCATCCATTCTTCCCTCCCTCCATCTCTCCATCCATCTCTTCATCTATTTATCTGCTCGTTCATCTGTCCACCCCTTCTTTCTTATATCCCTCCACCCACCGACGCACCCAGCCTTCTACCCACCAATCCCTCCCTCCTTCCCTCTGCTCACTCACCGCTCCCTCCGCCCTTCCTCCAGCATCCACCCACATGGTAATCGAACCATCCATGTTCCATCGAGCCCTCCCTGCATCAGACATTGATGGGGTGAGCTGGGTGTTTCCAGCCCTATTCTAGAAGCAGGGGCCGTAACAGAGAAAGAGACATGGTTCTTCCACATAGAGCTGGGGGGGGGAGGTACAGGCAAGTACATGGGCAATTCCAGAACATGTTGATGAGGGCTTTGATGGGATCTTAGGGGATATAGGGATTCGCAGCCCTAGTGGACCGGAGGAGGCTCTCTGGAGGAGGTGGCTGCATCTAGGCAAGTCTCTCAAGGGTGGTGTGGTAGAGAAGGAGCGTGCACAGAGCATGGCAGTCGGGGCCTGCAGGCCGTTCAGATAGCCAGGGCCAGAGGCTGTGGGGTGGAGTCAGTGTGAGAAGAGACTGCCCTTGTTTAGGGTCAGGGCCAGTGAGAGGGATTCTTGGGCCCCTGAGCTGGGAGCCTCATCCCCGGGGACTGCCCATCACCACCCTGTGCCAGCCTGGTTTCCCTGTGGTCACCGAGGAGATGCCAGGTGTGGCTGTTACGTAGACCAGAGTGGTGAAGAGGGTGGGGAAATGGGGCCAGAACTTGGGTCCCAGTGGGCTCCTGCCTCTGACTCCAGTGTGCTGAGCAAGCCACCCCCCACTGGACACATGACTCCTCATTCACAGGCTGAGTCTAATGTCCAGCAAACGCTCACTGCGGGCGGCTGGTGCCACGTGCCGGGTTAGGGGCTAAGAGCAATCACACAGTGGGTGTTGGAGCTGAGTGCTGAGGCTTCTTCCCTGCCTCCAGGTCCCTGGGGAGAGCCTCCTCCCCTAGGTGGCCGCCAGGGGTTGTGCTCAGGCCACAGTGGGCTCCCAGCGGGCAGGCAGGGCTGTGTCCTTGGAGCTTCAGGGAAGGTGGCCACAGGGTGTCCACTGAGCCCAGGACTGTGGCTCCATCTTCCATTCCCTAATCCCTCAAGGTCTGCCTTTGAGGCGCCCTTCCAGAGAAGAGGCAAGGCAGGCTTGGCCTAGGCCCCTGCAGGTGCCCCTCCTGTGAACACCAAGGTTCTCGCTAAGCTGGGGGTGTTACTTACAAAGCAGTCCGAATGCCAACGTGCCTCTGGGTACCAGAGCATAGGGGACAGGCCACCAGCCTCAGCAGCTCCGAGACCTGGTAGGAGAGAAGTGGCGATTTGGGGCTTTTCACAAAGTCCCTCATGTTCCTCTGACAGCTGGCCATGTGCAGGTTTCTGGAAGTTGGCCCTTCCAGAGGCTGCAGCTGGGCAGTTGGTTTAAATCTGAGGAAGGGGCCAGGCCACTGGCTCTGGGCTGCCCACCTGCTGTGGTCTGACCCCTGGGCGGGCCACAGAACAAGCCACAGGGCCCTTTCCTGGGTGCATGCCACCTGTGCAGCCCATTTCCACCTGCTTGGGAAACTCCCTCAGCATGGCAGCCTTGTGTAGCAGGACGCTGTCCACCCTGATCGGACGCAGCCGCACATGTCAGGGGCTGGGGGCTCCGGCTGGCAGGTGAGGACTCAGGTCTCATGTGAGGTTCATCTTTCTTCTTGGGTGGCCAGAGGGCTGTGTGGCCCCAAGGACCTCCCTTTTCTGAGGATCTGTCCCAGGCCTGAGTCCTAGAGAGCTCTGCCCACAGCGTCCTTTGTGGCCAGGCTCATCTCTTCCCTCTGAGCTACCCGTTAAAGCAGGTGGCTCAGGCGCTCTTGGGTGGTCTGACATTCGTTCTCCCATGATGTTTTACAACAGCAAGGAGCTACTGCTCCATCCAGGAGAGAGCCGTGGGTAAGAGCCAGGTGCTGGATTTAAATGCTGATTCTTCCGTGATCCAGACTGGGCAAGTTTGTCACTGCTCTGCGCCTCGGTTTCCTTTTCTGCAAAACGGGTAATAACCCCCTACTGCCTCAGGCTGTGCCGAAGCAAGAACAGAGCAATGCGGCTGGGTGTGGTGCCTGGCATACAGCAGGTGCTCCTGAGGTGCTAGCTGTGTAATGGCAAGGGCAAGGACAGCGTTGACGCCAGCTGGTGCTTCGGAGGAAGAGCCGTGGAGGGCAGGAACAATCGGGCAGGGCTCGGATGAAAGAGGCAGATGGAAGGCATGGGCTGAGGTCAAGAGGTAGGGGGTCAGTGGCACCAGGGCCAGATTGGGAACAGCCAGAGCAGGTGGCTGCTGCCTGGAGAGAAGGGCCAGGTCCCCGCTGGACACTGATGCTGAGCTGAGCAGTCGCTGGGTACTCAGAGGCAGCAGGGTCCGTGCAAAATGCAGGAAGGTCCACACGTGGATCCTGCTGGAACAAACGTCAGGGGCTTCCCCGGCCACCAGGTGTCCCCATTGTCCTGCTCATGGAGCTCTGGGGCTGGCTTTGTTTTTAGAGTAGTGGTGCTGGTAGAGGTAAGGATATAACTATTATTATGATGATGATGATTATCATTATTATTAGAGAAAGGGTCTCATTCTATTTCCCAGGCTGGAGTGCAGTGGCACAATCATGGCTCACTGCAGCCTCGACCTCCTGGGCTCCAGCAATCCTCCTGGGCACCTCTGCCTACTGGCATGGGCCACCACTCCTGGCTAATTTTGTATTTTTTATAGAGACGGGGTTTTGCTGTGTTGCCCAGGCTGGTCTCAAACTGCTCAAGCGATCCTCCTGCCTCAGCCTCCTAAATTCCTGGGATTACAGGTGTGAGCCATCTCGCCCGGTTACTGTCATTTTTAAACAGTGCTCAGTTACTGAGGATTTCCATGTGCCCCCTGGTGCAAATATTCTCATTCCAATGAACAGGACTCCTGGGATCCTGGCGGAGGGAGGGAGCATCTGCCAGAGTGTCTCTTCTGGTCTCTGCACCTCTCCTTTCCTGCTCTCAGAGATAGGGCAGGGGTCCCATCTCCTGTGTGCATCGCCAGTTCAGGGGCAGGTGACAGAGAGATTGAGAGAAGGCTGTTCCTCGTATGCGGAGGAGCCACGGTGGAGGTGGGTGCCATGCCTGCTTGCTCTCTAAACGGTCTGGCTTAGTTTAGTTTTGTTTGTTTATTGGTTAAATCAGTAGTCCCTGTCTGCAATGTTATGATGATGTAACATTGTTAATGCCTGAGCAAGTAGTGTCCAACTTTCTGTGTTTCTTGGAGCTATTAATCATTTTCATCCCAGCTCCTCAGTTTCTTCCATAACTGTTACGTGTGTCTGTCACATTATCTTCCTCCCCCAAAACTCATACCTGTTATCAGTCACTCCTCATTTCCCACACTATCCCCAGACTTAGGCAATCAGGAATCTGATTTCTGTCTTGATGGGGTTTCCTATTCTGGACATTCAGTATAAATGGAATCATGTGCTGTCTGGCTTCTTTCGCTTGGTGTGTTTTCAGTTTGTCCATGTGGTACGTGTATCAGTATTTCATTCTTTGTTGCAGCTGAATCATACTCCATTGTTTGGATAGAATGCATTTTATGTATCCGTTCACCCATGGATGGGCATTTGGTGTTTCTACCTTTTGGTTATTTTCAATAATGCTGCTGTGAACACCCATGTAGACGTTTTTGTGTGGACCCACACTGTTATTTCTCTTGGGTATATACAAGTTGAGCACCCCAAATCCGAAAATCCAAAGTGCTCCAAAATCCAAAACTTTTTGAACAGCAACATGATGCACAAAGGAAGTACTCCCTGGAGTATTTTTGATTGTGACTTTTGGGTTTGGGATGCTCAACAGGTAAGTATAATGCAAATATTGAAAATCAAAAAAAAAAAATCTGAAACACTTCTGGTCCCCAGCATTTCAGATAAGGAATACTCAGTCTACACGTTGGAGTACAGTTACTGAGTCATATGGTAACTCTGTGTTTAACATTTAAACAAACTATCAGACGATTTTCCAAAGAAGCTGCACCATTTTGCATTCCCACCAGTGAGGTATACGGAGGGGTTCCGGTTTCCCTCCATCCTCGCCAACTCTTATTTTTTTTAAATCTTTGTTTTATGCCAGTCATCCTTGAAGGTGTGAGGTAGTGTCTCATTGTGGGTTTGGTTTGCATTTTCCTAATGATTAATAATGTGGGGCATCTTTTCATGTGCTTACCATTTGTGTATCTTCTTTGGAAAAACGTTTACTCAGACACTTTGCCCATTTAAAAATAGGGTTGCTTATCTTTTTATTGAGTTGTAAGAGTTCTTTAAATATTCTGGATACAGGTCCTTTATTACATATATGATTTATGAACATTTTCTTCTATTCAGTGGTTGAAACTTCTGTTCAGTCGTTGTCTTTTTGCTTTCTTTTTTACTCCCGAAATTAAAGTCATTACAAAGCCTTTTCATTTTCTTTATGGTATAGTTTGTAGCACAACTTTTAAATTTTAATAATGTCTAATTCATCTCTTTTTGCCCCTTTTGTCATTAGTGCTTTTGGTGTCCTATTTAAGAAGACATTTCCCAACCCAAGACTACAAAGATTTACTCCTAATATTTTCTTCTAAAGCTTTTATAGCTTTAGCTCTTATACCTACATCTGTAGTCCATCTCAAGTTGAATTTTGTGCATGGTGTGAGGTAGGGGTCCAACCGTACCTCATATTCGTTTGCAAGTGGCTATCTAGTTGGCCCAGCAACATTTTCTGAAAAGTTTGCTTTCCCCCAAGGAATTGTCTTGGCACCCTTGTTGAAAATCAATTGACCGTGAAGGTTTATTTCTAAACTCTCAATTGTAATCCATTGCTCTGCAGGTCTATCTTTATTTGGTAACTCTCTGTCTCGATTAAGTAGCTTTGCAGTAAGTTTGCAATCAAGGAATGTGAATCCTCCAACTTTATTTTTCCTTTTTGAAATTGTTTTGAGTATTCTTGGTTCCTTGCATCTCCGTATGAAGTTTAGGGTCAGCTATTTAATTTCTTCAAAGAAACCAGCTGAGATTCTGACAGGGATTGTGTGGACTCTATAGATCAATTTGCGGTGTGTCACCTTAACAAAAATAAGTTTTTCATTTTATGAACATGAGATGTCTTTCTATTTATTTAGGTCTTCTTTTTTTCTTTTGACAGAGTCTCAATCTGTTGACAGGCTGGAGTGCAGTGGCATGATCTTGGCTCACTGCAATCTCTGCCTCCAGATTCAAGATATTCTCCTGCCTCAGCCTTCCAATAGCTAGAACTACAGGCATACACCATGACGCCCAGCTATTTTTTTGTGTGTTTTAGTAGAGAAGGGGTTTCACTGTGTTGGCCAGATGATTGCAATCTCTTGACCTCGTGATCCACCTGCCTTGGCCTCCCAGAGTGCTGGGATTACAGGTGTGAGCCACTATGCCCGGCCTTATTTAGGTCTTCTTTAAATTCTTTCAAAAGAGTTTTCTAGTTTTTAGCGTACATATTTTGCAATTCTTTTGTCAAATTTGTTCCTAAGCATATTCATTATTTTTGATGATACTGTAAATGAAATTATTTCTTAATTTCCTTTTCAGAATATTAAATGCTAGTGTATATGAATACAATGGTTTTTTGGCTGAGTGCAATGGCTCATGCCTATAATCCCAGCACTTTGACAGGCTGAGGTGGGCAGATCACTTGAGGTCAGGAGTTCGAGACCAGTCTGGCCAACATAGTGAAACTTCATCTCTACTAAAAATACAAAAATTAACTGGGCATGGTGGTGGGCAACTGTAATCCGAGCTACTCAGGAGGCTGAGGCAGGAGAATTGCTTGAACCTAGGAGGCAGAGGTTGTAGTGAGTTGAGACGGTGCCACTGCACTCCAGCCCAGGTGATAGAGCGAGACTCTGTCTCCAAAAAAAAAAAAAAAAAAAAAAAGAAATACAATAGTTTTTTTCTTGGTTGGTTGGTGGTTTTTTATATGCTGACCTTGTATCCTGCTATCTTGTTGTATTATTTTGTTAGTTCTAGAATTTTCTTAGTAGGTTCCTTAGGATTTTATATATACAAGACCTTGTTATCTGCAAATAGGAATTTTTTACTTCTTTTTTTTCACTGGATGTCTTTTATTACTTTTGCTGCCTAATTGCTGCCCTGGCTAGAACCTCCAATGTAATATTGGGTAAAAGTGGTTAAGAATGGAATCCTCCTCTTATTCCTGATCTCGAGGGTGAATCAGCCAGTCTTCTTCCTTGAAGTATGACATTATCTATGGGTTTCTGCAGATACCCTTCAGCAGTTTGAGGAAGTTTCCTTCTTCAAAATTTGTTAAGTTTTTGTTGAGACTTTTTTTTTTTTTAAATCATGAAAGACATTGGAATCTGTCAAATGTTTCTTATGCATCTATTGGAAGGATTATGTGGTTTTTGTCCTATAGTGTATTGATGCAATGTATTCTACTGACTGGTTTTCATACATTAAACCAACTTTGCATTCCTAGGATAAATTTCACTTGGCCACGGTGGGTTTTTGTTGTTGTTTTATTTTGCGTTTTTGAGACAGAGTGAGACTCTGTTGCCCAGGCTGGAGTGCAGTGGTGTGATCTAAGCTTACTGCGACCTCTACCTCCTGGGTTTAAGCAAATTCTCTTGCCTCAGCCTCCCGGGTAGCTGGGATTACAGGCATGTGCCACCATGCCCAGCTGATGTTTGTATTTTTAGTAGAGACGGGGTTTCACTGTGTTGGCCAGGCTGGTCTCGAACTCCTGACCTCAAGTGATCTGCCCACCTCGGCCTCCCAAAGTGCTGGGATTGCAGGTGTGAACCACCGCACCTGGCTAAATGCATGATTTTCAATCTGAGGACTCTTCTTGGATTGTTTCTTTAACTTTTTCCTCGACTCCATTTTTCTCTGTCTTCTCTTCTGGAACCCCTGTAAAATGGATGCTGGACTTTCAAGATTGACCTTCTGGTTTTCTTATTTTTTTCCACTCCTGATTTCTGTTTTGTTGTCTTTTTCTTTTAGCCTAACAGCTAGATGATGATCCTAGCCTTATCTGGCCCTTCTGTTGAATTTTTAATTTTGACTATTATATCTCATTTAAAGACTTATTTCTTCATCTTAGATTCCTTTTTTGTAGCACTGTGTTTCAGGGACTCATCTGATATGGTCTGGCTGTGTTCCCAAATCTCACCTTGAATTGTAATAACACAGGTGGAGATAATTGAATCATGGGGCCAGTTTCCCCCATACTGTTCTTGTGATAGTGAATAAGTCTCAGGAGATCTGACAGTTTTATAAAGGGGAGTTTCCCTGCACAAGCTCCCTCCCTTGCCTGCCGCCATGGAAGATGTGACTTTTCTCCTCATTTACCTTCTGCCATGATTGTGAGGCCTCCCCAGCCATGTGGAGCTGTGAGTCCATTAAAACTCCTTCTTGTATAAATTACCCAGTCTCGGGAACATCTTTATTAGCAGCTTGAGAACACACTCATATACCATCTTCTTGTATCCCTGATGTTCTTGTCGTGGTTTTATTTTTAAAAGAGAGTGAGCAGCAGTCTGATTGGAGGCTGAGAAAGGAGGACTGGAGAGCCTCTCAGGAAGGTTAGGCAGCAAGCCCTGATCTCAAGCCTCCTCTGGACCTCTTAGTGTCTCACAGAAGAGTCTTCTATCCATTGCTGGGGGTGGGAGATGGCAGTCCACTCTCCACACTCCACTCCCCATGTCCAGAGCCTCTCAGGACCCACCTCTCCACAGGCAGATCCTTCTATACATGAGCGAGAGCATCAGTCCCTGCAGAGGGACCTGGGCTGGCTCTGGAGATTCAAGAGGAGACAGGAGGGGGCACACTGGCTTGCTGGGTTCAGTCTCCCTCTCCTCCAACGCCAGCTAAGGCGCCCCCTCCTCCATCCACTCTGCATCCTCCTGTGTCGGTTGGAGCCTCCCATGCTCTGCTGCTGCCTCTGCCCATTCTCTCATCTTTGTGGGTGATATGTTTTGCTTTGCTCCCTCCCCCTCTCTCTTCCTCCATCCATTCCTTCTTCTTTCTTACTCTTTGACTGTTATTTTATGGGATTTGGGGAAGGACAGGCTTGAATGGCAGTGACTTGTGCAGCTGTTCACTTGTGCAGCTTGAGACCCCGTGTCCACTCAGTCCTCAGGGTCCTACAAGAAGGAGGACCACCTTGGGCTGGTGACCCTGGGTGGAGGTGCTGGCCCACCATGGGGCATGGGGAACCAAGTCCCCACCCAGCCCTGGCTGATGGCAAGGCCTCTCTCTCTGCCTTCCAGAACATGCCCAACGTCCGTGATCATGATGCCTCTGTCTACCTCCGCCTCCAAGGGGATGCCTTGTCTGTGGGTGGCTATGAGGCCAACCCCATCTTTTGGGAGGAGGTAAGATGCCAAGGCCCTGGGGTAATGGGAGGGAGTTGGGACTACATCTCTGCATGGAGAGGGCCTCTTCCAGGAAGCCCACCCTCCTGAAGTGCCTCAGAGCCACACCCGAGAACTGCAGGTCCCCTGGCCCCACCAAGTTCAAAGCCATTTTGCTCTGACCCTGAAAGTCCTGGCATGCAGTCAAATCCAGAACCAGGGCAGCTGGAGGGCTTCGCCTCAAAACATCAACAGTGAAGGGCTACACACTGTGGAGTGATGACCTCAGAAGGGCATGAGTGCACACAAGTCCCGTGTCCTTCAGCAAATGACACTGCCCTCCCTGCCAGCTGCTACAGTGGCATCTCTGCCAGCCTAGGCAGTGCCCTGGGCAGCTTCTGGGGTCAGGGCAGCTCTGCAGCCTCGTTCTATGTGTATATGCATTGAGTTCACACATGGAATGATTAAGTGGCTACTTTGGGTTAAAAACTGCTTTAATTGGCTGGGCACGGTGGCTCACACCTGTCATCCCAGCACTTTGGGAGGCCGAGGCGGGTGGATCACGAGGTCAAGAGATCGAGACCATCCTGGTCAACAAGGTGAAACCCCGTCTCTACTAAAAATACAAAAAATTAGCTGGGCATGGTGGCGCGTGCCTGTAATCCCAGCTACTCAGGAGGCTGAGGCAGGAGAATTGCCTGAACCCAGGAGGCGGAGGTTGCGGTGAGCCGAGATCGCGCCATTGCACTCCAGCCTGGGTAACAAGAGCGAAACTCTGTCTCAAAAAAAAAAAAAAAAAAAGCTTTAATTTCTGGAGAAAGAGGGAAACTAAGATAAAAGTCCCTGCCTCTGGATGCCTATATTTTGGTGGGGAGACATACAATAAACAAACAAATGGCTGGGTGTGGTGGCTCACACCTGTAATCCCAGCACTTTGGGAGGCTGAGGCGGGTGGATCACCTGGGATCAGGAGTTCGAGACCAGCCTGCCCAACATGGTGAAATCCCGTGTCTACTAAAAATACAAAAATTAGTCGGGTGTGGTGGTGGGTGTCTGTAATCCCAGCTATTTGGGAGGCTGAAGCAGGAGAATCACTTGAACCCGGGAGGTGGAGTTTGCAGTGAGCCAATCTGCACTCCAGACAGTGGGAGACTTTGTTTCGAACAAATAAATAAGGAACGCAATTCCGGAAGGTGACTGGGCGCTGAGTAAAATGAGCAGGTTCAGGATCAGCCTGGAGACTCTGGAGCAGAAGGATATCCTTTAGACGGGTAGTCAGGACAGGATATTTTAGGGAGGGGCCATCCACGCAGAGCCTTGCATTGAGAGAACAAACCAGTGTGCCAGGTCTGGGCGAGGAACTGCCCCAGTGAGTGGTGAAGGTCTTGAGCTCAAACCAAGCTTGCTCTTCCCAAAGAGCTGCAGGGTCTGGGTGGCGGGCCCAGTGGTAGAGGTAGGCAGGCTGGCACAGGCAGGGCTTTGGAGCCTTTGTGAGCCGCAGGGGGCCAGAGGAGGCTTGTGAGCAGGGAGGGGGCATGGTGGGTTCTAAGGGAGTGGGCTGAAGGAGGGCAGGGACTCAGGGTGACCAGCTAGAGGCCACTGCAGCCATCAAGGGCTGAGTAGGTGGAGGCTTGGGCTGGGGTGGGGAGGAGGAGCAGACAGGCCTCCCTGATAGGTTGGTGGGTGGAGGAACAAACTTTGGGGACCTGTGGGTGACCGCCAGTCCCCTAACACATCTGATTCAGCGGAGGCTGGCCTGGCAGCCATCACAAGGCAGGTGTGGCATGGGGGTGCATGCCCTGCTTGGGGACAAAAGAGATATCCCCTGCCCTGCCTTGGCAGGTGTCAGACAAGTTTGCCTTTGGCCTCTTTGACCTGGACTGGGAAGTGTTCACCCAGCACATTGAAGGCGCCATCAACCGGGTCCCCGTGCTGGAGAAGACAGGGATCAAGTCCACGGTCTGCGGCCCCGGTGAGTGGGAAGCCTGGGAGCCGGGTTGGGCGTCTGTGGGTCCTTTGGACTGACGGCTTTTGGTCGTGATGCCCCATGAGGCCAGCCTGTGTTGGGCAGGGGACCCAGGGCTGTCCCCGGGCTCTCTCGCTGCCTGGTTCCAGCAGCCCTGGGTGCCAGGTGTGGCATTTACTCCTCTCCATGGGCGAGAGGCCTGGGCTCAGTGAGAGCAGTCACCTGCCCCCTGTACGCGGCCAGGGCCTCCTCCTGCCTCAAGTGTGGCTCATCTTGGATTTTCTACCTGGGATTCTTCATCCCTAGACTCAACTTGTCCTGGGAACTCTGTGTTTTTGTCTGTAAAATGGGAAAACTGGGCTGCATCCCAGCGTCCTGAGAGGCTGAGCAAGGAATGGAAGCGCTGAGACCTTCCCTGATACAAGGCCCACACAGCTGTGAGCCCCGTTCTCCAGCGCCCACCCCCACTGCTCCCAGAGAGCACTGCCCTGGCCAGGATCCCACACTGCTGTTCTTGGCCTTGGCGGCCTGCTCCCAGAGGCCAACGCAGCAGGGGAAGACTCTTGTGCCAAGATTCCCCTAACTCTGGCCCTCCTCGCTGGCCCCAGGAGAGCTGAGCTGGAGGAGGCAGGAGCAGAAAGGTGGGCTCAGCTCCCAGACACCCCACGTGGGCCACAGTGCAGTCCTGCCCCGCCCTGCTGGCCTGGGGAGCTCGGAAGGTTCTGCCCCAGGGTGCAGGTGTGGGGCTGAGGCAGCCGGCCTGGGCCCTGGCAAAGGGGCACTCTGGGAAGCAGGAGGGGCTGGAGCTGACCTTGGCACTGGGCATTTACAGCCGAGGGACTCTGAGCCAGACGTCCCCGAGTTGAGTGTGGGGCAGCCCAGGAGCTACCAGTGAGCCTGGAGTCCCAGCGTTCCTTCATGAGGGCATCCATTCCACGTTCAGTGGTACCTCGTCTGTGCCAGAGGCAGGCATGCTCTGGCTAGCACCCTCCTTCTGGCAGGGGAGACCCAGGGCGAGTCACTGACCAGAGCCTGTGGGTGGGTGCTCTGCAGGAGGCGTGGGGTAGCTGGGTGGCCATGGCCTGGGGACATAGGCAGGCGGCCGGGAAGAGGGCCAGCCCAGCCGGGCTCTGGAGGTACTGGGCCCACCTCGGATAAGTGATCTGGGCAGGGGAGCACTGGATGGACACAGAGCAGGGAGGAGGCGCCTCCACGTCGGGTTCCAGCAGACTCACACCAGTGTTCCCCGCGGCTTCCTGGTAGGGGAACTCTGGCCGCACTTCAGGGCTAGGAGAGAGGTTTAGAAAGACACAGCGTTGCCCCCAGGGAAACCGTGTCAGAAGCTTTACTGAAGGCACTGGTGCCCTGCGGAGTAGGTGCATCTGTGAGGTGGTGACGGACGGAGCACCGACTTGGCAGGGTGCCCCAGGGATAAGACGCCACAGCGGGTGCAGGGCACTGTCCAGGCCCCAGCAGCTGCAGAGAGCATCAGAGTAGAGGTGAGCGGCACCAGGTGGGGACCCTGGGGAATTCCATGGGCCAGGCAGGGAGCAGACGAAGGCCCTGGAGACAAGAGAGGCCTGCCGGGGAGTTCAGCCCCCTCTGTCCTGGCATCTGCTTGGCATCTGCTCCGCCGCCGGCAGGGGCTACATGAATAGATTTGCCTCCTACGGGAGGCTTTGGTGGGAGATACAGCCCCAGGGGGAAGCAGATGGAGCCCCAGAGACCAGGGCAGCGTGCAGGGTGGGGGTACATGGCTGGGGGGCTGTGACTCACCGCCCCTACACCCGAGACCCCCCCCAGCTTGCGTGGGCCTGGCAGCCAGAAACACAGGCCTGGAAGAATCCCAGGGCACAGATAACCCCAGGCGTCTCTCTGTCTCTCTCTCTCTCTTCCCCTCTTGTTTTAATCTTGGGAGGCTCGTAGGAATCAGCATTTCTCCTTGGCAGGCACGGCCAATGGCCTTTGGCCTCCAGAAAAAGGCAGGGATGTCCCAGGCCCCGTGACTTAGGAGTGCCTCAGAGGGCAGAGGTCTCATTCCAGGACGGTGGAGCTCACCAAGGTCAGGGTGGGAGCCGCAGGCCTGGCCCCTGGCCATGCTGCCTGGAGCTCCCATGCGTCCTCGGGTTGCTCAACCCGCCTGAATCATTTGTGAAACATCCAGGAGACCCTGTTCCTGCAGCTGCCCCCCGCCCAGCTCTCATTAGCACTCCCGGCAGATTCCGTGCGAGGTTCTTCAGCGCATCTTTCCCGCCCACCCTGGACCTTTCCCGCCCATCCAGTTCCAGCCCTCCCAAAGAGCTCCCTGGGCCACCCCCAAACCCAGCTCAGGTTACCTCTCCCACCCCTCCTTTTTTTTTTTTTTAAAGAGACAGGGGCTCTCTGTGTAACCCAGGCTGGAGCGCGGTGGTGTGATCTTGGCTCCTGCAGCCTAGACCTCCTGGGTCAAGCCATCCTCCCTCCTCCGCCTCCCGAGTAGCTGGGACCACAGGCTCACACCACCATATCCGGCTACTTTTTGATTTTTTGTAGAGATGCCGTCTCACTATGTTGCTCAGGCTGGTCATGAACTCCTGGCTCCAGAGATCTGTCTGCCTGGGCCTCCCAAAGCACTGGGATGGCAGGTGTGAGCTGCTGCACCCAGGCCCAGGCTCACTCCTTCTGCCCCACCATCGCCTTCTCTGGAGCCTTCCTCGTCTCTCACCCAGAGGGCTGCTCTGGCCGCTGCCCTCTGCCCTGACAGCCCAGGCCCTCCACGCAGGGCCCTGCCCCTCTAGCCTGCCTCTTCCCCACTGTCCTGCAGTGGCCCTGCCACCTCCTGTCCCTCCGAGGAGCCCCACCTCTTCCAGCCAGGCTCTCAGCCCACACTCCCCGAGCCTTGCTGCCTCCTCAGCTCCGAGGGTGGGGCCCTGATGGCCCTCCTGGGAGCAGCCGGCGCTTGCTCCTGGTCTGCATGCAGAGGGTGACCCCCCCAGACCTGGAGCCACCCCGTTTCTTCATTCACAAACTCGGTGCCCTGGAGTCCCTGAGAGCCGGTCTAGAATCTAACACGGGGTGGTGCTGGGACACCAGCAGCAGCAGTTGGCACCTCAGTGACACATGGCCCTCAGCTCATCGTATTTTCTTTACCAGACCATCGTTTTTTGCTTGTTTAAGTATTTGCTCCCTCCCTCCGTCAGCTCCTCGAGGGGTGGGACGTGTCCTGCTCAGCGTGGCCTCCCAGGGCCAAGCACAGGACAGGCTGGTGATGAACGCGGGTAGGCTGGTGAGCGCACAGCCCTGGGAAGGAAGTCCTGCTATCCCAGTTTTATAGACGAGGACACTAAGCCTTGCTCAGAGAGGCAAAGTGACTCGCCCAATGTCACACAGCTTGGAAGGGGTGAAACAGGGTTTGAATCCGGGTCTGTGGATGCAGAGAGCCAGATTCCCCTCCCACTGGGTCCTGGCCTCTGTCCGAGGCTCACCGGTGGCCTCCAGAGACTAATCTCCTGATTAGTCTCCTCCCCCACAGAACTTGGGATTCTTGGTTGGCTCAACAGACCTTGACCAAGCACCTGCCCTCGCGGGGCTCTGCCCCTGTGCGAGGCCAGGGGCCATCGAGTGAGAAAAACAGTCCCTGCCCTCTCCAGGTCCGGGGGCAGGAGTGACAGGTCTCTGGCAGGGACACAGCAGGATGCTGGCGCAGCGGGGGACTGGAGCTTGCTCTCCAGGGTCAGAGAAGGGCTCCTCGCCGGCAGGACAGTGGCCACAAGACAGACAGACCCCACCAGGCAGAACCTGGGCAGGTCGCTGTCAGCTGGTTCTGGTAGCACGCGTGAGAGGCTTGAAGGGCAAGGGCAGGAGGCAGCAGGGACGCTCCCTCGAGGACGTGGCGCTGAGCAGGGCCTGGAGGAGGGAGAGGGCCTGGGTGGAGGGTGCCTGCAGCGCCCTGCCTGCTCGGTGCTCGCCTAGAAGAGCCCACCCATGAGTGCATGCACTGCAGGGGATTCAGGCTTCCCTCTCCCTTTCAGAATCCTTCACACCTGACCACAAGCCTCTGATGGGGGAGGCGCCTGAGCTTCGAGGGTTCTTCCTGGGCTGTGGCTTCAATAGCGCAGGTGAGTTTGGGCAGCAGCCCACCTGGCCCCTGTGAGCGAAGTCCTTCCATTCCCAGAGCTCTCGGGGAGGCGGGCCCAGGCGCACCGTGGCCCTTGACAGCGGCAGGGACAGGAGAGGCTGGGGAGTCCAGCAGAGAGGGGTGCAGTCCAGCCGGGAGGCATGCAGCACCCCAGGTGTCAGAGCCGGCTTGGGTGTCTATGCTGTCCGCGAAGATGGGGGCACAGGATTGGACATGGGTAGAGGACCCGGGGGCAGACCACAGCCCTGCACTTTTCTTCCTGCCAGGAATGATGCTGGGTGGTGGCTGTGGGCAGGAGCTGGCCCACTGGATCGTCCACGGGCGCCCGGAGAAGGACATGCATAGCTATGACATCAGGCAAGCTCCCACTGGGACCTACAGGGAGGGCCCGCCGCTCAGGAGAGGTGGGGCAGGGTAAACATCGAGGGTTACTTAAAAAGGAGCCTTCCCTGAAATCCAGGTGGCTTCCTGGAAGAGGCAGCAGTGAGGGAGGAAGGGAGGAAGGCCACCAGCAGAAGGTGGGCAGTGCTGAGGGGCGGCCGGGGGACAGGTCCACGGCCCTTTACAGCTTCCAGGATCTCTTGTCCCAGGGTCCTGCCTGAGCTCCTGGACAGCTCGGAAGTCATCAGTGGGACTGCATCATCCCACCTCACAGATGGGAGACTGAGGCCTGGGGGCAGGAGGGGGCTGGCCGAACTGGGATAATTGTGCTGAGTGCGTGGGCTGCAGCTTGCAGCCAGGCAGCCCAGGCTGTCCCGTTCTGTCATACACTGACAAAGTGGCCAAGAACGAGACCCACTTCCTGATCTATAATGCAGGGTGATGGGGAGGTGCTGCCATGTTTTGGGAGCAGAGAGTGTATCTGTGCTGGTGAGGTGCCTGGCGTGGGGTCTGCACATGGAAACGCTAAGTCATCCCCAGCCGAGGCACGGACCGGGGTGCTGATGGCCAGAGCCGGTGACGGCAGCCTGTCCCGATGGCCTCTGCCAGTCGGGGCCATCTCTTGCGGAGCACAGGGGTGCAGGCGCTCCCCGGCAAGGAGGAAGGCTCCTCCTGTGTCTTGTCCCCACAGCGGTGGCCGCTCTGAGCCGCACAGCAGGGCCTGTGGTCCAGGCTGCACCCTGTGCTTTGCGGGGTGGCTGTTGAAGCAGGGCCGCTTGGAGGGAGGCCGGCCCCTGGGCCTGTCCAGCCTGCTCTGCTCCCAGCTGCTGCTGGTGGACGGCCACCCTGGGGAGGCCCCAGCTGCTCCTTCAGGCGGCAGGCAGGATGGCCTCCCAAGGGAGAGGGCTCAATCAGCTCAGGGTGCCCCTCGCCTGCTGACCTTGTCCTTTCCTGGCCTGATGAGGACATTACGCCCACTGTGGGGGAGATGTCTGACCTCATGGAGACAGACAATGACAGTGAGGTCCCCCAGCTGCCACCCCTGCATGGCGCGTGGCACACTGAGGCCCCCTCTGGCTGACTCGGAGCCCATCTGGGCCTGCACCCCTGCACTCTCCCAAGAGCGGAATATTCCAGAATAGATAAAGCTCCAAAGGAATAAGGAAGGGCCAGGTCAGGCCTTCCTGCTACAAACAGTGAAATGGAGGTGACTTGCCTGAAGGCCCCCGACTTTTGAACCAGAGCCAGTTAGGGACCCAGCTCCTGCCTCAGGCAGGATAGTCCTTGTGCCCTGGCCTCTCTTGGGGATGCCACCTCTGGAACCTGACCAGCCAGGATCCCACCCAGTGGCGCTGTGTGGCATCTCTGTGCCTCTGTGTCCTTAGCTGCAAAATGGGGCTGCCCAGCCTGCCCAGCTCCTGACTGGGGCCTAGTCCCATACTCAGCAGGCAGGATGTTTGCTGATGGGCTGGCAGAGGCCCTGAGGCGGCCCCTGGCAAGCTGGGGACAGGCCTGGGCCTCCCCGGGTCAGCTGTCCTCCTCCCATCACTGTGACTCTGGCGGGAGCATGCAGTGGGCGGCTCTGGGGCTGGAAGCCAAGGGCACAGGTGGGGAGCCCCTGAGAGCTGGGGTACGGCAGGAGGAGCACCCACCCTGTTGGCCCCAGACCCCTGCCAAGCCACCTGAGTGGTGGTACCCAAGACACACCTCAGCCCAGCTGTCACTGACGTGGGGCTCCCGAATCCCTTCAGTGTGCCAGTGTGGACGCCACCGCCCATAGGACCAGCCACCGGCCCCCAGGGGTTTAGCACTAATGCAATGCTCTGCCGTCTGTGCCTGGGGACAGAGGCAAGACACAGACTCTGCAGGAGAGAGACAGAGCCAGGAGAGGAGGGAGGTGCCTGGGAGAGTCATTGAAAGACCCAGAAAAGAAAGTGAACAGAGAGCACCAGCCCCAGAACGGAGCTTTCCCCACCCAGAGACTCCTAGTTGCTTCCTGCAGGCCAGAGAACACGCCTGTGACGTCCTTCATCTTACACATGGGAGACGCACGTGGTGAGGCAGCCAGAGCCCTCCCTGGGTCTGGGGCGCATCTAGACTCCAGGCTTTGAATGAGGGTCCCAGGGCTGGCTGGGCACCAGGCAGCTTCTAGGCCGTGGCAGCTGCTCTGTAAGTGACTCCCTTGTGAAATCAGAGGAGAGGCAGTCACCCCAGCCCCACATCTGTTAGCTGCATGGCCCATGGTCAGTCCCTCCTGTTCTCTGAGCCTCAGTTTCCCCATCTGGAAAATGGGAACAATGTCCCACCCTCTCGGAGTGCACTTGAGGCTCATTTGTGTGGACAATTGGCCCAGTACCCAACAAAGCAGAGCCAGAGCCGGAGCCAGAGTGCAGCCTGGACTGTTTTTTCAGGGAAACTCCTTAGGGTCTGGGTGAGCCAGGGAAGAGTTGCTTTTCATTTTTTTCCTCTTTTTTTTTTTTTTTGAGATGGAGTTTCGCTCTTGTTGCCCAGGCTGGAGTGCAGTGACGTGATAATTGGCTCACTGCAACCTCTGTCTCCCGGGTTCAAGTGATTCTTCTGTCTCGGCCTCTTGGGTAGCTGAGATCACAGGCGCCTGCCACCATGCCCGGCTAATTTTTGTATTTTTAGTAGAGACAGGGTTTCATCATAGTGGTCAGGCTGGTCTCGAACTCCTGACCTCAGGTGATCTGCCTACCTCAGCCTCCCAAGGTACTGGGATTATAGGCGTGAGCCACTGCGCCTGGCCTGAGTTGCTCTTTATTTAAGTGAAGAGCGTAGCCTGAGCCAGCCTGGTCCCTCTGCCCACTGGCTCACAGGCAGAATCGGCAGCTGGGCTTCTGCAGGTCACTCGCCGCTCTTGCCCGCCCGACATGCACCTGACTGCTGCCCCCAGGAATCCGCCCATACCCTCACAGGCTCCATCACTCCCTCCTTCAGCCCCTGGTAAGCGTAGCGCAGCGCAGGTGTGGGCCGGCTCTGAGTGGCCTCCTTTGTGACCGCAAACACGTGAGATCCTTCTGAGCCTCGGTTTCCTCTCATGTGAAAGAGTTAAACTTGGGTCCCATGCAGAAGGCAGCTCTGGGGACAGACAAGGAGGGATTTCCTCCCGCAGCAGCACTCCGCCATGGGCCTGCCCCAGAGCCGGTGCCGTGAACGACAGCGGTTATTAATGACAATATCGTGAATAAAATTCCTCACGTCTGTCCCTCCGCTCCCCGCCCATCCAGATCAGAAATTCCTGCTTGCTAGAATTCCGTGCAGAATAAGAGTCAGTTAGCCCTGACCCGTGTCACTAAGGATGTGGCTGCTGAGGCAGGTCGTGGGTGCTGAGCAAGGTTCCAGCAGGTGGGGCGTGAGGGGGAGGCGGGGCGCTGGGCGAGCTGGGGGCTGAGAGGGAGGAGTGTGTGTGGGAGGTGGCCGCAGGGCCCGCGCGCCGCTGGGCCCAGGTCTAACTCTGGCCAGCAGCTCTGCGCTGTCTGACTGGGGAGCCGTGGCTGGTCTGGGGAGACCAGGGAACAAGCTGTGGGGCATTGGCCACGCTGCCCACCCAGAGGTAGCAGAGGCCTAGGCCACAGGTGCAGCACAGAGCTTCGTGGTTCCATGAGAAAGAGTGTGGGGCCCGCTGGGCTGGCTGGACACCACCAGGGGCTGTAGTGGCTGCATACTGTGTCCCCAGCCTTGAAGGAACAAACTCAAAACTCTCGCAGCCACGTCGTCTCTGGTCCTGAGGGCTGGAGTCTGCAGCTGCTCCCTAGACATAGCTGGGATTTCCCCGGAGACTGTACCTCTCGGGTCCTGGTCCAACCTGTGGACGCAGCCCAGCTTTACAATCACAGACTTGGTGGGTGGGGGTGCTGACAGGACCAGGCGGCCACCCTTGCCCCCACTGCCCTGCTGGTGGATGGAAAGGGGGCTCCCTTGCCGAGAAGGACTGGCGTTCCCATGCATTGCAAGGCTAAACTTTAAACACCCTTCCCATAGACCCTCCCCAGAGCATTCTGGGGATCCGAGCCCACCTGTCCCCAGGGCTGCCCACTCCCCAGGCATGCAGGGGGTGCCAGGACTCCCAAGCACTGGAACCTGGGCAGCAGACAGCAATGCAGAGAGCGAGGCCAGAGCCCCATGCCGTGTGCCCCGTGGTGGGTGAGAGCCTCGGCTGGGCCCTCTGTTGGCAGTGCTGACTGCCCCAGGGCTGCCGGGTGGTAGGGTGGCTCCTGGGGAGAAAGCTGAGCTCATCTAGTTGCAGGGTGAATGGAGAGTCAGGGGCCCACTCAATGCTGAGCCACAAAGCGGCCTCTGGTGGAGGGGACCGGGGTCCAGGCTTGCCCAGGGCAGCCCTTCCCTGATGGGCCGTCCCCAAAGCATAGACTTGTCATCCCCTTTTCCCCCCACATCTGTGGCAGGCGCTTCCATCACTCGCTCACGGACCACCCCCGCTGGATACGAGAGCGCAGCCATGAGTCCTACGCCAAGAACTACTCCGTGGTCTTCCCCCATGATGAGCCGCTGGCCGGGCGCAACATCAGGAGAGACCCGCTGCACGAGGTGATGCCCCTGCAGCTGCTGTAACCTCGCCCGGGGCAGGCGGCAAGGCTCTGGGAAGTCCGCAGGGCACGGGACAGGCGGGGGTGGGGGGAACGGAAATGCAAGGCATACCCCAGCCACAGGTCAGGCAAGGTGGCGAGGCATCTGTCGTTAGGTAGTAACCCGGCACCAAGTGTTGGACTCAGGGCTCAGGGCCGGGACGTTAGAGAATAAAGTGGGAATGGCTCCCTCTCCCAGGGGAGCTTCCGTGCTAGTGGAGGGGCAGGAACACGCACCCAGGAATCGCCCTCCACCCCTGACAACCTTTGCTGCAGCGCCAACAGGGCAGGGGTGCTGGGGACGGGGGGGCTTGGTGGGTGTGTGCAGGCAGCCACGTGTGGGGGAGCAGCCAGATCACGACGTGCCCAGGAGAGCGGCTGCAGCTCATAGAGCCTGCTGCAGAGGCTCCTGTGCCCTGGCGAGCTTCTCCTCACCCCTTCAGTGAAACCCAGCATCAGGTGCCCTTTTTCAGGTCTGCCTCTGTGCCCTCCCCTGCATCCCCAAAGACCCAGGAGCTCCTTCCCTGCATTCCCAGCCCCTGTCTCCGTTCCTTCCCCCTCTTCCTGGCCATCTCATGCTGGACACTTCGCTTGCTGGGAACAGGGGCTATGTCCTAGGCACTGTGGCTCCTGAGCACTGAGGTGCTTGAGGGTGTTTGTTGAGCAGATGGCTGGGCAGGGAGGCAAGAAGGCGGGCTCAGGGAGCAGGTGGCATTGGAACTGGAGAAGGGACCCCCTCACCTGAGACTCCAGTGCCCCAAGAGAGACCCGATATTAGCCGCACCTCCCGAGGGGAGACTCAGAGACAGAGTGGTCAGAGGGCTGGCTCCCAGGCTGCCCTGGGCCGCTGGCCGGGCTTGGTGGGCCAGCTATGATCTCAGGCCACACATGGCCCTGAGGGCCCCCCAGCATCCCCCCCGGGCCTGTAGTCACCCCCTTGCCAGTCCTGACAGCTCAGAAGCCTCCCTGGGTGAACACGGGGTTTGCCCCCCTGGCAGTCGGCTCAGGCGTGTTCCTCAGAACTGAGCAGCTCTGCCGGAGAGATTTGGCAAGGTCTGAAGCGCGCCGCTGCCCCGCAGGGAAACCTGGTTCGCCCACGTCTGCTGCGACTCCCTCCCGCCCAGCAGCCTTCTTGCCGCACTTGACAGCCGCTTCCCTTGGTTTTTTCTTTCCTTTGTGAAGAGGGGAGGCTGCCCTCTTTTAATGGGCCGCTGAGATGGACACTCTCCCTCCTTGGAAATGTGGCCCGTGGCATGTCCCTGTTGTTCACGGAGGGGTGGGTGGGTTTTGTGCCCTCGATTGCCGCCCCTCGGAATCCCAGACGTGCAGGGAGGACAGGCCGTGTCATTGATGAATGCTGCGGCCTTGGGGTGCCTCATCCTTCTCGGGCTCTTGGGGGTGGAGGGGAGGGCAGGTGTGGCTGGGACAGGCCCGCGGCTGCCCACCCAGAACCAGGTACAGCCCCCGAGGCCCTCTCAGTCCTGGGCTTGGGGCCTCCTTCCCATCGGGTGGGGTGGCCCCTGGTTAGGCCCTTACAAACCTGAGAGTGATGATGCTTTTTTTCTTTTTCCCAAACCACATTTATTTTTACAGAAAGCTCCCACTCTGTTTCTCTGGTGTGTGCATTACATTCGTTGTTGTGATTAAGTAGGCAGATCTTAAAATGAGCCATTTCAACCACTTTCAACTGCACAGTTCAGCGGCATGAAGTGCATTTGCAGCGCTGCGCAGCCGTTCCCGACACCCAGTTCCAGAACGTTCTCACCACCCCACGGGGAAACACTGCCCCAGCCAAGGCCCTTCCTCATCCCGCCCCACTAGCCCTGGCAACCGCAAAGCTGCTATCCGTCTCTACGGATTTGCCTGTTCAGGTCACTTCAAACACAGGGAATCACCCAACAGTGACGTTTTGTGTCTGGCTTCATTCCTGTAGCATGTTTTCAAGTTCATGCATGTCATAAAATGTGTCCAAATTTCATTCCTTTTAATGACTGAATAATAGTCCACAGTGTAGGCAGACGACACATTTCTTTTTTTTTTTCTTTTTTTTTTTGACGACACGTTTCTTGATCCGCTCATCAGCTGAGGGCTGTGGGTTCTCTCCCCCGTTGGGTGGTTGCGGACGGAGCACTAAGAACACGTGTGAACAGAATTTGTTTGCAACCTGCTCTCAGTTCTCCTGGGGATACTCGGGGGTGGAATTGCTGGGTCGTATGGTGCTTCTGTCTGCTAGGGCAGCCACAGCAAAAGGCCACAGGTGGGGAGGCTTACACAGACCTTTTTTTCCTCACACTTCTGGAGAGTGAGAGGTCCAAGATCAAGGTGTCAGCTGATGGGTTCCTGGAGAGGGTTCTCCTGGCTCGTAGGTGGCCACCTTCTCACTGACATCCTGCGTCGGGGAGAGGGCTCGGCATCACCTCCCTCCTATAAGGGCCTCAGCCCTATGGGATTAGGACCCACCTGATGACCTCACTTAACCCTAACCTGAAGATCCCATCTCCAAATGCAGTCACGTTCAGGTTAGGGCTTTAACTTATGAATTTAGGGGTGATGCGATTCAGTCCATAGCAGGTGGTAATTCTACAGATGGGGGTTCTCAGGGCGAGGGCAGATGGGGCAGGTGATAATTCTACAGATGGGGGTTCTCAGGGCAAGGGCAGATCAGGGCAGGTGGTAATTCTACAGATGGGGCTTCTCAGGGTGAGGGCAGATGGGGCAGGTGGTAATTCTACAGATGAGGGTTCTCAGGGCGAGGGCAGACCAGGGCAGGTGGTAATTCTACAGATGGGGGTTCTCAAGGCGAGGGCAGGTGGGGCAGGTGGTAATTCTACAGATGGGGGTTCTCAGGGCGAGGGCAGATGGGGCAGTGGTAATTCTACAGATGGGGGTTCTCAGGGCAAGGGCAGATGGGGCAGGTGGTAATTCTACAGATGGGGGTTCTCAGGGCGAGGGCAGATGGGGCAGTGGTAATTCTATAGATGAAGATTCTTGGGAGGGCAGATGGGAAGGTGTTAATTCTATAGATAGGGTTCTCAGGGCGAGGCAGATCAGGATGGTGGTAACTCTATAGATGGGGTTTTTCCGATGAGGGAAGATTGGGGCAGTTGGCAGATGTTAATTCTATCGATGGGGGTCCTCAGGGCGAGAGCAGATCGGGGCAGATGGTAAATCCATAGACGGGCTCTCAGGGCAAAGGCAGATCCGGGCAGCTGGTAACTCTATAGATGGGGGTTTCAGGGTAAGGCAGTGGCGGTAGCTGCAAACACTGGGCTTGGGGCCTGGTTCCAAGGGTTGGAGCCTCCTAGCTCTCTGTGCCCTTGGGTGAAAGTGGTGGACGTGGCACTCTGCCCTGCGCAGGGTGATCGGGCTGCTTGTGACGGGTGATCATTCCCCACTCCTGCGCAGGAACTCCTTGGGCAAGGCTGTGTGTTCCAGGAGCGGCACGGCTGGGAGCGACCAGGATGGTTTCACCCCCAAGGCCCAGCTCCGGTGAGTAGCGCCTGCTGGGCTGTGCTGCTGGGAGGCCCTGCCCCGTCAGCCCCAGCCCCTCCATGTGCCCTGCCTCCCAAGTGGCTCCCCTGTTGTGATCAGGCCCGGGAACCAGGTTAGTTCTTTTGCACATGTGAAGCCAAGCCCACCGACCTGCCCCCAAGGCTTGGCACTTCCTTTATGAGGTTCACGCAGGCCCCACTCCCCGTCCGTCTCGGCCAGGACTTCCATGGCCCAAGTGGGAAGGGCTGTGGGCAGAGCAGGAGGGGTGTCCCGTGGTGGGGAGACCGAAAGAAGACTCCCCCGGGCTGCAGGAGGAATGGAGCATCTTCTAATTCTGTGCGTTTATTTCTGGCCACTCGGACTGTTGGTTTCTGTCCGTAGGAGGGTAGGAGTGGGAGGGTCCGTGCACCCAGGGTGCTCGGTTTCCTCGTGGAGGTTTCACAGTGTCCTGGACTCTGGGCACCCTCTGGGGCTTCCCGGGGACCTGGGTTCTCAGACAGAGGAGCAGAGGCGGTCCTGCTGTGAAACCTGGGACCCAGGCCCTTAGGAGCAGGCGACTCAAGGCTTTAAGGTCAGCCGAGGGGTAGCATTTGATCCAGATTTACAGAAATCAAAATCCCTTTCTCGGGGCTGCTTCTCACCAACTCTCTGCGTTCTACCCACCTTCCCTCCTCATGGCAACCCACAGCCCAGGACAGGCTCCGGAGCTCCAGGGCATCGAGGGTAGAGACGGGGGCCGGAGCTGGCTAATGGGCCTCTGCTGTGGGGTCAGCATCCTCCGAGCCTCGCCGGCCATCGTCCCTTCTCCTGCAGGGCCCTAGGGACATGCAGTCCTCATGAACCCTGCAGGGAGGAGGCGTCCTGTAGACCCTGCCCTGAAGCACCGCCCACTGTGTTCCAGTCACATCTGGCTCTGGAAGCCCCTCTCCCCTGCCCCTAGGCAAGGAGGCAAGAGCGAGTGTCAGGAACACACCCCCGGTCCCAAGATGGGCAGATTTCGCACCCCACCCGGGAGCCCACCTGGGAGTCCAGGACACCTTGGCAGGGCTGCAGCAGGTGCGATGTCCCTGCTGGTGAGGAGGGGACTCCAAGCGGAGATGCCAGCGAAGCCTGACTCCGTTATAACCTCACACTTGGCTCCCACTGTGTGTGAAGAGGAGGTGAGGCTTGGTGGGTGGGGCTGGCGGCTCTGGGAGGTAAGAATTGCCCGCACCTTCGTTCACAGCTGTGCCGTGCCAGCAGTTAGGAGGGCAGGTGGGGGATTGTCCGCAGGAGCAGAGGCCAGGAAGCGGCATGGGACTGTGTGGGGGGTGTCTGGGTGGGGGCAGATCCCAGGGAGGCCAAGGCGATGGCAGAGAAGCTAGACTCTGGATCCCACACGCCTGCCTGGCTCTGTGCCATGCCCCACGCCACTGTCCCGCCCGGGACTGGTCTGTGCCCTTGGGCGAGATGAAACTTCTCTGTGCCTCAGTTTCCTCATCTGTACAAAGGGCACCCCTGTTAGGAGTGTAAGGCACTTCCCACAGGGCCTGGCCCAGAGCAGGAATAGGGCCTGGGGTTGCCTGGGCACCGGGAGCAGCCTGGCTGAGGTCCCTGCTTCGCCCTGCTGTTCCCCACCTTGGGTGCATCTGGCTACTCCTCCAGCCTCCCGAGCCCTGGCTGGGCTCTCAGACCCACCAGGTGATGCTGCTGCCTGCGCTGTGCCGATGCTTGCCTGGACCTCTCGGGAGCCCCTGCCCGTGTGCACAACACACTCACACTCACGGCTAGGGCTTCCCGAGGGCAGAGCCAGGCCTGACTCCGGCATCACAGCCTCAGCGGGACCCTGCTCTGGGGAGGGAGGCGGGGAGGGACAAGGGGGGGAGACTGAGGACCACGTCTTTTCTTCCCAGGTCCTTGAGTACGACTACTACGGGGCTTACGGGAGCCGCGCGCACGAGGACTACACCTACCGCCGGCTGCTGGGGGCCGAGTACACCTTCGACTTCCCGCCGCACCATGACTCGGTGCGTAGCTGCTCCCCACTGCAGTGGGGGGGGGGTCCCTCTCCCAGTCCCTCAGATGAGCCTCCCATTGGGTCGGCCCTCGGCGGGTCCTGCAGGGGCTCCCCTCCCCCAGGAGTCTCTTCGGGCTCTGCATTCATGCTCCTTTTTCTGCGGACTCCATTTTGAGGAGGCATCATGCATCTTCCTCTCCCCCCTCCTCCCTCTGTACCGAAATGGTACCAGCAGCCGGGCCTGAGCGGAAGGGGTGCTGCTGGGGACCGGGTGAGATGGGGGCTGAGGCGACGGGCTGGGGCCTGGCGGGGCTGCACCGCTCTCAGCCTCCCTCCCGCTGCTCTCCAGAGCTGCTCCGAGGCTGGCATGAGACATGCTGGGGGAACGGGCTCCTCCTTCTGAAAGCCATGGCAGAGCAGATCCAGGACAAGGTGGCCGGAGGCTCCCGGGCATCATATGTGCCCCTCCAAGGGATAAGCAGAGGGAACCAGGGCCGGGAGGGCCATGGCCTGGAGCCTGCCTGCTATTCCTCTTTCTCCAAAGTGGGCAGGTGAGGCTGGTCACACAGGACACCTGGCAGCCGGAGGACCTGGCTCCCACGTGCAGGGGGTGGAGGTGTGGAGTCTTGGGGGCCTCCTCCCCAGCAGAGGCCTGTCCACAGAGGGGCGTGCCCCAGGCAGCTGTCCTGGAGGGAGTGTGGCCAGCGTCTGCCCCGGCCTGCCCAGCCGTGTTGTAAAGCACTCACAGGTGGAGCACAGCCGTCGCCACCCCAGGGAGATGTGTAATATCTCACTGCGAATCTGACATAGCAGCAGAGCAGAGCCGAGGCCTGAGCCCGGGGTCTCAGAGCCCAGGGACAGCTTAGGGAGCATCCACGAGGGGTTCCTTCCCGGGGCTTCCGGGACAGTCTCAAGCCCGGCTTCAGTGGGGTCTGACTCTGAGGCCACCCAGGGCCCCTGGCCTCAAAGTGCCTGGCTTGGGTTCCTGCTCTGCTCTCACCGCCTTGAACCTCTTCATGGTCTTTGAATAAGGCCCCCCCTGGGTCCCGCACTGGATTCCGCAGCAGGTCCTGAAGGGAGGAAACCGTTTCTTTCCACCCTCTCCCCCAAAGCTTGCTCTAGTGGCAGAGCATCTGTTGGAGGCGTCGGAAGAGGGGCTCCTGCAGGAAGGAGGAGGCGTGTGTGCCATGCAGCGCCTGAGCAGCAGGGCCGGCGTGGTGCCTGAGTCCCTCGTGGCTGCCTCCCGGGGAGAGCTCAGGGCTCTGTCTGGCACCTCCGCACCCACAGCTTCTAAAGCCGGTGGGACTCTGGCCCTGGAGGATGTGGGAGCTCGGGGGAGATGCCAACTTGGCTTTGTGGCTTCATCCGGCCTCCGCAAACGCGCCTGAAGCCATCCTAAAGCACAAAACACGTGCTTGTTCCCGGCGCTGGCAGCTTCCCGGGCCCAGCTAGAGGAGCCCAGTGCGGGAGGCTGCTGAGGGTTTTGGTCGGCAGCCCCGGTGGGTGGCGTCAGCAAAGGGACAGCAGAAACCGACAAAGGGGTGGCCCGTCCTGCTGCCTGGCGGGGCTGGAGAAGCCGCGGAGGGCTCAGGAGGCGGACGGTCCCGGTGGTGTGCTGGTAACAGCCTAACAACCAGCTCTCCCGGGAGGTGGGGAGGAAGCTGGCTCTGCAGCATTGGCCAATTTCTCTGATGTAAATACTTTCCCCATGGCCGATTTCAATCCAGTCCGCCAATGGATGAGGCATCACTGAATGTGGAGCTGGGCAGGGATCTGCGTGACCAGCTCCCGGGGTCAGTGCACCCCTGCACAGCCTGGCTGGACCGTAGCTCTGCCACGGCCCGGCTGTGCCACCATCCCTGACCTCCCTGAGTACATGAGGGGGGTGATTTGAGTTCCCTCGTGGAAACTCATAGGGAGTTTGGGAGGAGATGAAACAGCTTCCCGACACACGGGAACTGTTGGGGAAGCGGTGGTTTCTGCTGCCGTGATTACTTTCTTCCTGTAATGATAATGAGGTGGGCACATCTGCTCAGCAGTGGGTGGCATGTGGGGACCTGAAGGAGGAGATCAACTCGAAAATACAGTAAAGAATGTAAGACCCTGAAAACCTTACCCAGGCATTTGTAAACTGTGGGGAAGGAAATAGGGAGTGATTTTTTTTTTAAACAGCTTTACTGAGATCTAATTCATATAATATATAAATATTCATTTAAAGGTTACAACTCAATGTTTTTTAGTGAGTTCACAGGGTTGTGCAAACATCACCATGATCTAGTTTTAGAACATTTTCTAAATTTCTAATTTCCCAGCAAGACACCCCATACCCATTAGCTGTCACCCCAGGCCCCAACCTGTCCCCAGCCCATGGCACCCCTAGTCTGCTTTCTCTCTCTGTAGATATATCTAGTTTGGACATTTCACATAAGTAGAATCATAAAATCAGGTGTCCTTTTGTGATTAACTTCTTGCACTCAGCGTGATATTCTCAAGGTGCACCCATGTGGTAGCGTGAGTCATGTGTCAACACTTCATTCTTTTTTTTTTTTTTTTTTTTTTTTTTTGAGACAGAGTCTCACTCTGTCACCCAGGCCGGAGTACAGGGGCACCATCTTGGCTCACTAAGCCCTCTGCCTCCCGGATTCAAACGATTCTCCTGTCTCAGCCTCCCAAGTAGTTGGGATTACAGGCACATGCCAGCATGCCCAGCTAATTTTTATATTTTTAGTAGAGTTGGGGTTTTGCCATATTGGCTAAGCCAGTCTCGAACTCCTGACCTCAAGTGATCCACCCAGCTCAGCCTCCCAAAGTGCTGGGATTACGGGCGTGAGCCACTGCGCCTGGCCTCTTCATTTCTTTTTATCTCAATCGTATTCCATTGTAGAGACCCACCGTATTTTACTTATCCATTGATCAGTTGGTGGACATTGGAGGTGTTTTCACTTTTGAACTCTTAGGAACAGTGCTGCTGTGAACATCCATGTACCAGGTGCTGCATGAATGTATGTTTCATTCCTCGTGGGTGTGTAATTAGGCCTGGGTCAGTAGTAGCTCTGTTTCATATTTTGAGGGAATGCCAGCTGTCCTCCAAAGTAACCGTGCGGTGTGACATTGTCCACCACAGTGCTAGAGGGTTCCAGTGTCTCTACATCCTCACCAACGCTTCTTATTATCTGATTTTTTTTTTTTTTTTTTTTTTTTTTGTCGCCCAGGCCGGAGTGCAGTGGCGCAATCTGGGCTCACTGCAACCTTCGCCTCCAGCTTCAGGCAGTTCTCCTGCCTCAGCCTCCCAAGTAGCTGGGACTACAGGCATGCACCACCACGCCTAGCTAATTTTTGCATTTTTAGCAGAGATGGGGTTTCATCATGTTGGCCAGGATGGTCTCAATCTCCTGACCTCAGAATCCTCCCGCCTCGGCCTCCCAAAGTGCTGGGATTACAGGCGTGAGCCACCGCGCCCTGTCACTACCTGACTTTTTGATTCTAGCCTTCCAAGTGGGTGTGAAATGGCATCTCATCATGGTTTGGATTTGCATTTCTGTAACAACTGATGGTGTTGAGCATATTTTCATGTGCCTGTGTCCACTTGCTTGTATTCTGTGGGGAAACATCTGTTCAGACCCTTCGTCCCTTTTAAAATTGGGCTGTTTGTCTTTTTATTATTGAGTTGCAAAAGTTTTTAAATATAGTTTAGAATTCAGGTGTCCCCAAACTATGGCCCGCGGGCTGCATGCAGCTCCCTGAGGCCATTTATCCGGCCCCCCACCGCACTTCAGGAAGGAGCACCTCTTTCATTGGTGGTCAGTGAGAGGAGCACAGTATGTGGTGGCCCTCCAACGGTCTGAGGGACAGTGAACTGGCCCCCTGTGTAAAAAAGTTTGGGGACACCTGGTTTAGATACAAGTCCCTTATCAGATCCACAGTCTGCACACGAGTTTCTCTACCCTGTGGTTGTCATTTCACTTCCTTGATGGTATTGTTTGCAGCCCAGCTTTTCAAATTTTAATGCTGCCCAATTCATCTCTCTATTTTTCTTTTGTCACTTGTGTTTTTGCTATCATGTCTAAGAACCTAACACAAGGTAAAAAAAAAAAAAAAAAAAAAAAAAAAACCAAAACATTTATGTTTCCTTCTAAGAGTTTTATAGTCTTTGCTTTTACACTTAGATCTAGGAGTCATGAAAATTAATTTTTGTGCATGGCATGAGGTTGGGTCCAGCCACATTCTTCTGCATGTGACTACCTGGTTGGCCCAGCACCATTTGTTGAAAAGATTGCTTTCCCCGTGGAATTGTCTTGGCACCCTTGTTGAAAATCAATTGACTGTACAGATGAGGGCTTATTTCTGGACTTTTCAGTTCTATTCGGTTGATCTATAGGTCTGTTCTTGTTTTCTACCTTACTGTCTTGATTTTGTAGCTTTGAATTTTAATAGCAAGTTTGGAATCAAGAAGCATGAATTCTGCAACTCTGTTTTCCCTTTTCAATATTGCTTTGAGTATTCTTGGCCCTTTGAATCGCCATACGAATTTTAGAATCAGCTAGTCAACTTCTGTGAAGAAACCAGCTGAGAATTTTGAACGGAACTGTGTTTTGTCTGTAGATCGATTTGGGGTATGTTGTCATTTCAACAATAGTAAGTCTTTTGTTTCATGAACATGGGATGTCTTTCCACATCTTTTGGTCTTCTTTCACTTCTTTCAAAAAAATATATGTTTTAGAATATAAGTTTTGGACTTTTTAATTAAATTTACTCCTCAGCATTTTATTGATGATACTCTAAATATGATTTTTAAAAATTTCCTTTTGAGATTGTTCATTGCTAAATAGGTTTTTTTTGTTTGTGTTTTCATACGTGACCTTGTATCCTGTAACCTTGTTGAACTATTTTATTAGTTCTAATAGGCTTTTTTTTTTTTTTTTTTTTTTTTTTTTTTTTTTTTTTTTTAGTGGATTCCTTAGGATTTCCTATATACATGATCCTGCTATTGGCAAATAGGGATGTTTTTACTTCTTCTTTTCTGATCCGGATGCCATTTATTTTTCTTTTCCTGCCTAATTGCCCTGGCTAGGGCCTCCAGTACAGTGTTGAATAGGGTGGCAAGAATGTACCCCTCCGTCTTGTTCCCGATCTTTCATCATGAAATATAATGTTTGCTATGTGATTTTCATAGGTGTCCTTCATCAAGTGGGGGAAGTTCCCTTCTATTCCTAGTTTGTTGTGTGTTTTTATCATGAACAGGTGGATCATGTCAAATACTTTCCTGTATCTATCGGAGGATCAGAGGGCTTTTGTCCTTTGTTCTCTTAAAACGTTGCATTACAGCAACTGATGTTTGAATGTTAAACTAACCTCACGTTTCTGGGATAAATCCCATTGCCCACGGTGTGTGATCTCTTTCTTATGTTGCTGAATTTGATTCGCTAGTGTTTTGTTGAGGGTTTTTTTGTATCTATATTTGTAAGAAATACTGGTCTGCAGTTTTCTTCTGTCTTTTTCTGCTTTTGGCATCAGGGTAATGCTGGCCTCCTAGAGTGAACTGGCAGGTATTTCCTATTCATATTTTTTCGAAGAGTCTGGGAAAAATTGATATTAGTTCTTCTTTGACTGTTTGGTAAAATTCATCAGGGAAGCCATCTGGATTTGAGACTGTGGACAATTTTTCGATTATGCATTCAATCTCTTTTTTTTGTTTTAGTTCCATTAAGGTTTGCCATGTCTTCGTTCTGTTTCAGCAATTTGTATGTTTCTAGGAATTTGTACATTTCACGTCTAGTCTATTGTCACACAGTTGTTCATCGAGTTTCCTCGCAATCCGTCTTACTTCTGTGGGGTAGGCATGATAGCCCCCCTTTCATTCCTCATTGTAGCACTTTGAATTCTCTCATTATTCTCTGTCTAGCTAAAAGTTTGTCAATTTTGTTGATCTTCTCAAAAAATCAAGTTTTCGTTTTGCTGGTTTTTTTCTATTTTCTTAATTCTTACCTATTTCTGTTCTAATATTTATTACTTCATTCCTTCTGCTTGCTTTGGGTTTCATGTGCTCTTTTTCTGGTTTCTCAAAGTGGAAGATCGGGCTATTGATTTGAGATCTTCTTTTATAATACAAGCACGTACAGGCATGAATTTCCCTGTGAGCACTGCTTTAGCTGCATCCCGTGAGTGGCTGTATGTGGTACTTTCATTTTCATTTAATTCGGTAGCTTTGAATTCCCTTCATGATTCTTTTCTTTGATCCAGTGGTTCTTTAGCCATGTGTGGTTTAATTTCCAGTTATTTGTGAATTTTCCAATTTTTCTTCTGCTATTGATCTCTAACTTAATTACGTCGTGGTCAAAGAACATGCTTTGTATGATCTCACCCTTTTTGAATGTATTGACCCCTGTACTGTGGCCTAGCACATCATCTATCCTGGGGAACATTCCCTGTGCTGAGAAGCATGTGTCACAGTGTGTACCTGAGCCGGAAAGGGCTTGGTCAGGGCTGGAAGGGAGGGAGGGGAGGCTCAGTACAGGTGTTGGAAAGAGCCCTTGTTCTCCACGTTCTGGAGGGGGAAGCACACCCCAAAGGCCCCTGTGGCATTCCCACCTCCTCCCTGGAACTTTTCAGATCAAGAAGGAGTGTCTGGCCTGCAGAGGCGCCGCTGCTGTGTTTGACATGTCCTACTTCGGGAAGTTCTACCTGGTGGGGCTGGATGCAAGGGAGGCTGCACACTGGCTCTTTACTGCAGACGTCAGCCGACCCCCAGGTATGGGGCCTGGGGTGGGGGGCATGTTCCTGTCACTCCATGGGCACAGCCTCAGGCACTGAGATGAGCTGGCACCACCCCATCCCCTGGAGCACCCTGGGCCCACTGCTCCTTGCCCTCTCCTGGCCTTGGGCCCCTCTGTCCGGCCCCCATTGCCCCATCCCAGGACCCAGGCCCTAGGACCTCACAGCTCTCCTCCTCCTCTCCCTCCCTCCCGCCTTCCTTCTCCTCCCCACTTCTGCCTTCCTCTCTATTCCAGAAAGGATGTGTGGCAGCTGGCCCTCAGCCACCTCTCTCCTGGGACTGGGGGGTTCAGTCCCCCTCATACTCTCACAGGTGGGATTGCCAGAATTAAATAGAAACATAGGATGGTCAGCTACATTTGAGTTTTGGATACATAATGGCCCATTTTTAACGTAAGCACAGGCATCACCATCTTCATGAGTGTCCCGGGCTGCCAGAACAGAGTATCACAAACCTGGTGTCTTAAACAACAGCAATTTATTGTCACGGTTCTGGAAGCGGGAGGTCAAAATGAGGGTGTCTCCAGCTGATGCTCTGCAGAGGACCTTCCCTTGCTCTTCCAGCTACTGGTGGCGGTCGGGAGCCTGGGCCTTCCTTGGCATGCGGCTGCACCACTGCAGTCTCTGCCTGTTGTCACATGGCTTTCTCCAGGTCTTCTCTCTCTTCTTTTTTATTTGAGTCAGAGTCTCACTCTGTTGGTCAGGCTGGAGTGCAGTGGCGCGGTCTCGGCTCACCACAAACTCCGTCTCCTGCGTGCAGTGATTCTCCTGCCTCCGCTTCCTGAGTAGCTGGGATTGCAGGCACACACCACCACGCCCAGCTAATGTTTATATTTTTAGTAGAGACGAGGTTTCACCATGTTGGCCAGGCTGGTCTCGAACTCCTGACCTCAAGTGATCCTCCCACCTCGGCCTTCCAAAGAGCTGGGATTACAGGCATGAGCCACCACACCAAGCTGTGTTATCTTCTTGTAAGGACAGCAGTGAGATTAGATGGGGGCCTACGCTAATGGCCTCACTCTAACCTGATTACATCTGCAAAGATCCATTTCCAGATAGATCACGGTCCCAGTCCTGGGATGAAGACTTTCACGTATCTTTTTGGGGGTCACAATTCAACCCCTGATGTCATCTCTCCAGTCAGCCAACCAGCAAACCCACTCTCCAGACTCCCAGGCACCTGCTGCTCACCTCCCATTAATCTCGCTGCCCACTCCAGCTATCCACCCACCCACCAGCCCACACGTCCCTGTTGCTCCATACGTCTGTTCCCCCTTCAACTCACCCACTCCCATCCTCCCGTCCATCTGCCCGCCTTCCCATCTGTCCAGCCATCCTCCATCCACTAAGTAATCTATGCCACAGACATTTCTGGAGTCTTCTCCGGTCCCAGGCACAGTGCTGGGAGCCCCAAAATGAATGGGGGTGGCATGAATCCTGTCTCTAGAAACTTCTTGGCATGGTGGTGGGTGGGCGGGAGGGATGGAATGGGAGGGGCCAGTGCCAAGGCCTTTCAGGAAGAAAGAAGCTTCCTTCCCGCAAGGGTGGTGGTGATGGAACGGCCTGCCCATGGCTAGTCCTCTCTGGGTTGTTCAGCTGAAATGGCATCCCTGGGCTGAGGGGCTCTTCAGGTCATCTCCCAGGAGGGCGTCCTGCTGGGGGTTATCCAGCCTCTGCGAGGAGGAGCTGCCCGTGTGAGCGGCCCGCAGGTGCTGGGGCAGCACAGACCCGGCTTCCTCCCCTTCCCACAGGCTCCACCGTGTACACGTGCATGCTCAACCAGCGTGGGGGCACTGAGAGTGACCTGACCGTCAGCCGCCTGGCACCCAGCCCCCAGGCCTCGCTGCTGGCCCCTGCCTTCGAAGGTATGGATGCCTCTGTGTGCACAGCGCTGTGACCGCGGCCTGCTCAGTGGACCGGTGGTTGAGGACAGGGCAGGACGGACGGGATGGGCTGCCGACGGCAGCTCTGTCATTAGCTGTTGTGGCCACTGTGGTCAGGTCTGGGAGATTAGAGGTCTTGTTTCAAGCTGAATTCAGGCTTTGTTCAGGCGGCACTGCTGGAGCTCCAGCCCTCAGTGATCGCATCTTTGAACCCGTCCACAGTGTTGCATTTTGGAGTGGCTGCCGTGTGGGCGTGCTCAGCTCAGCTGCCCGGAACAGAGCGTGCCAATGACAGGCCGTGCCTCCCACTCAGAGCAGTCAGCTCCCTTCTGCCACTGCCATCCTGGCTGGGTTGGAGTCTGAGGCCCGTGTGTCCCCGAGTCTGAGGCCTGGGCCGGCCCTTGGAAGATGTGCGGCTCAGGGCCCACCCTGATGCCTGACTGCCCTTGCAGTCCCTCTGTGAATGCTTGCATGCCCTCAGCAATGCTACACAAAGCTGGGACCTGCCTCCTGTCCCTTCAGCCTGATCCTGTCCCTGGGTTCACACAGGAGCCATCTGATCTCTACTCCTGTAACCCATCCCCCCCAGGGATGAAGGAGCAGAGACGGAAGCATTCTCTTTCTCCGGGAAGCGGCATTGCTGCCTCTGGGATGGGGCTTGCACAGGGGAAAGTGCTGGCCGTGCAACTCTCTGTGCTGACCGTGGGGGCAGGGGCGCAGCCAGTGGGAAGGGCTCAGCCCATTCAGAAAACCTGGTACCTCCTTGCCGTTGGCCTGACTCCGTGCTGCTGGCAGATGTAGTTGTTTCCTCACTGGGTCACTGTCCCCCAGGGGTGCAGCTCGGGCATTGCGGGAGAGAGGCAAGGGTAGAAAGGGGCTCCTTCATGATCTGCTCAGAACCAACACCTGCAGCAGCAGTCCTGGGGGCACCAACTGTGTGTAAGGCTCAGCACAAGGCAGCGAGGACCGGGCAATGAACCCAACACAGAAGTTCCCGCCCACGTGGACGTGACACTTTGGAGAGGAAGGAGGATGAAAAAACTGAGATAAATGAAAGGGGCAGGGAGTGAGATGGGTCAGGAAGAAAAATGAAGACCAGAGGAGGTGAGATATGGGGGGCCAGGGTGGAAAGACAGGTTGCTCACTGCCCAGGGCGTCTCTGAGGCTGGGGGCTGGCAGGGACTCCTGGGCCTCCAGGGTGCTGCCGAAAACAGGGAGTACTGAGGTGAGCCCAGCAGCTTGGAGATGAGGCTGTGAGTGTGAGGGAGGGTCCTGTGGTGAGGGTTAAACTGTGAGTGTGAGTGAGGGTCCTATGGTGAAAATGAGTCTGTGAGTGTGAGGAATGGGTCCTGTTTTGGGGGATGAGGCTGTGAGTGTGAGTGAGGAGTCCTGTCATGGGGGATGAGGCTGTGAGTGTGAGTGAGTGTCCTATGGTGTGGATGAGGCTGTGAGTGTGAGTGAGTGTTCTATGGTGAGGATGAGGCTGTGAGTGTGAGGGAGTGTCCTATGGTGAGGATGAGGCTGTGAGTGTGAGGGAGTGTCCTATGGTGTGGATGAGGCTGTGAGTGTGAGTGAGTGTTCTATGGTGAGGATGAGGCTGTGAGTGTGAGGGAGTGTCCTATGGTGAGGATGAGGCTGTGAGTGTGAGGGAGTGTCCTATGGTGTGGATGAGGCTGTGAGTGTGAGTGAGTGTTCTATGGTGAGGATGAGGCTGTGAGTGTGAGGGAGGGTCCTATGGTGTGGATGAGGCTGTGAGTGTGTCAGGGTCCTGTAGCGGGGGATGAGGCTGAGATCGTGCCTGAGGGCTTCTGCGGGGTGCACAGCACGGGTCCTCCCTTCCCTCCTGCCGTTGGTGATTTGGAGGCTGGTCGAGCCCTGGGCTGAGCCAGATCGCATGTGCTTCATGGATCCGTGAGCTCATCCTCATTCCCTCAACAGTCATTGTGGCGCCTTGACTATGTGGCAGTGCCAGGGCAACCAGAGCCAGGAGGAGTTGAAAGAGGCTGGTGAGGCTTCGGGGTCACCCCAATGAGCTCTGTGCACAGATGGGTGCAGGAAAGGGCCTGTAACCCCCAGAGGGAGATGTGCAAGGGGATGTCAAAGGGCGAGGTGTTAGGGAAGGCCGTGCATAGCCGCTGAGCTGGGATGAGCAAGGCGTCCTGGAGGAGGCGGCGGCCTGAGCTCTGAAGGATGGGTAGGAGCTGCTGGCTGGAAGAGTGTGGAGGTCAGAACCAGTGTGACCTGCCCATCGCTTGTCCTCTCTAACTCATCCAACCGAAATGGACTCCCTCAGCTGAGAGGCATGGTGCCTGTGAGGAGCTGGGCGTCAGCCCCCAGGAGAGCGGAGGCCCCGGCACAGCCCAGAGCCATAGACACAGTGAGTCTAACTGGGGAGACAGTAGGGGGGCCAAAATGAGGACACAGGTCACCAAAGTCCTAGCCCAGGCCCTGCCACTGCCTGGCTCAATGACCTGCCTCTCTGAGCCTCAGTTTTCCCCAACTGGGAAATGGAGTGAGGCGGACTCACCTCCCTGAGCTGCTATAGAGAATTGGGTCAGAGCCTGGAGGTGCTAGGAGGCGGGGGAGCAGCCTCCCTGAGCCTCAGTTTCCCTGGCTGGGGAATGAGGACCTTGCTAGTCCCCTGTCATAAGGAGGAGCTGTCAGGAAAGTGCTTTGAACACTGAACCATCTCCCAGTGGTGCACAGTTAGCTTTCCAGAGGATTCTGGGGGATTCCTGGAGCTGAGTGCTGGGGAGCCGTGGAGCTGGTTAAGCTGGGAACGTTTCACTCGGTGGGTGTGAAGGAGTCAGCGCCGTGAGTCACATCCCCCAGGGCTCTGCGGGTCCCGGGGACCACTCAACAGGAGGAGACACCATGTGGGCTTTGTTTCACTTTCAGGCTTCAAAACGGCACTGAGTTATGAATATGCATGGGCATTCAGTATGCACGCATCTAATACGTGTGCCGATTACGCATGCTACATCAGATCACCGTGAAGTCAGGAGAATGGGATGAGTTACATGTGATCAAAGTGGCGTGCAAAGCAGCTGTCAATCTTAAAAGTAACTTTAAATGATCTTTATTGATCTTTTTTGTAAGAGGATAAGCGGATACATGCTCCTGGGAGCCATTCCAATGATACTGAAAAGCACCAGATAAGGGGCACAGCGCTCAGCTCCCCTCACCCAGTGCGGGTGGCGCAAGCCCCCAGCCACCCGTCTTCCGACCGCTCCCTGCCTCGTTGGCTTCACAGACCGGGCCTGGACCTGGCCTGACCCGTGGCCTCAGGACTGGCATTTTGTTTTCAGGGAAGTTGGTCATGGATGGCCCGGCCCGTAGGAGCCAGGCCCACCGCTGCTGTCTCCCTGGGTACCTATCGGCCTTGGTAGCTCTGATGCCCTCCTAGAAGAGGCCGGGGATGGTTGCAGACCAGGGGGCCACTGAGGAGCCAGGGGCCTGAGAGTCACTGTGTGTGTGTGTGTGTGTGTGTGTGTGTGTTGGGGGGGTGAGATGGGGTGTCTGTCATGGGGCTGAGCACACCATCCAGAAATGGCCCCAGTCCAGGGGTCGGGGAGCCCCTTGAGGACTGGCTTGTCTCTGCCTTCATGCTCCATTATGCTCATGGTGTTAAGAGAAGGGAGGGAGGGAACAGCCTGGCTGGGGCCCTGAAAGGTCTTTCGTCCAAGGGATGCTCCCAACAGCCCTTGGGGCCGGATGTCGTAGGTCTGCCCCTTTGACAGATGAGAAAACGGAGTCTCAGAGGTGGAAGAGGTGAGGCTAGCAAGCCACAGAGCTGCATCTGGGCCAGGCTGGCCTGGGCCTATGGTTCCCAAGACAGTGTCCTCCCGGGGGTGGGAGCGTCTCTGTGAGGTGTGTGCAGGGGTGTGGGTGGTCGGGGTTGAGAAGCAGGTCCTTCTTCCAACCCACATGGCTCAGAGGACATTCTGTGCAGGGTGTGGCCCCGGGGGCCCGAGGGAGGGGCAGATTGGTGCCTGGGCTCTGTGAAGGTGCAGGCCCCTGAAAGGGCATTGGTTTTCTCAGCCGGGAGACCCTTGGGCCACCCTCACTGTCCTCGCCTCGCCCTGAAATCCTGATCTAAGGCCAGTCCTTCTCTTCCAGGGGACGGTTACTACCTGGCCGTGGGCGGGGCCGTGGCCCAGCACAACTGGTCCCACATCACCACGGTGCTGCAGGACCGGAAGTTCCGGTGCCAGCTCATCGACAGCTCTGAGGACCTGGGCATGATCAGCATCCAGGGCCCTGCCAGGTGAGAGGACAGGGAGCCTGCGCTGGGCGCACTTGCTTCCTGGACCCAGGCCCTCCCATGGGCCCTTGGTCAGAACGGCTTGTCCAGAATGGGGCATTCTGAATAGTTAACTGCTCTGGTAAACCCAGAGGTGGCACTCTGAATAATCTACAAGGCCCTGAAATGCAGATAAGCCCATAACACAAGTCAGACTGAACTTGACGGCTGCTCAGTCACTGAGGACCCCAGGATCCCAGACGGGAGGGTGGTCTCATCGCCAGTGCGGTAGAGGAATTACCGCCCTCCCTCCCAGAGTGGGCAGAACCAGGCCAGGCTTCGCCCTGCTACATGGGCAGAATAACTTCCTTCGCTGATGGGTCCCTGGTTCCTTCCTAAACACCTCCCATGACAAGGTCTCCGTGTGGCTTATCCACGCATGCATTCATTCCTTCTCCAAACACTTGCTGGCTGTGTTCCCACCCATGAGAAAGCAGGAGCTGGGAAGACCCTCAGATGCCGCCTCATGCACGCGGCCGCTGAAGTGTCTTGGGCAAAAGGACAGCTGAGCAGGTGTGCACCTTGGAAAGCACCCTCTGACTATGTTTCGGAGAAGAGACTGGGGTGGGGGACACAGAGGAAGGGCAGTTGTGGCAGCAGCCACCAACGGAGCTCCTGTGACCTGCCAAGCCTGAGCCGACATCTCCTGTCCCCACAGTAGCCCTTTGAGGTGGTCATAAGTGTTCTTATTTTTACTGATGCAGAAACTGAGGAACGGAGAGGTAGAGACACTTGCCTATGGGCACACAGCTGGTCAGTGCCAGGGCTGAGGGGGATGCGGCCCCTTGGGCTCTGAAGCCCACACACGCCGCTCCCTGCTACCCTCTTTCAGGAGTTAAAAACCCTCCATGGGAAGACGGCCTAGTCTAGGCCTTCCACTGTTGACACCCCGGGGCTCGGGGTCCAGGACGCTCATCTCAGGGCACTTCCTGCCGTCACATCTGCCTTGGGGCTGGGCGGGGTGGCTCTGCTGGACCCGGCAGGAGGAAGAGGCATGAGATGAGTGCACTACTTCTGGGGACGTGGAGGGTGTGAAAGGGGTGATCTATCTCTGGAAAATGAAGGGGGCAGCTTCGGGAGAGGACGGGAGAGGAGAAGAGGAGAGGTGGGGAGGGCTGGGGCGGCGGGTTGCGGGGAGATGCGTCTTCAGCCTGAAGGTCGCCGAGGTGAGCACTTTGAGGTAGCATGGCTGTGTCCAGGTGATAACCTGTCAGCCTGGAGTTCTGCCGAGACCTCTGGCTGGAGTGCCCAGACCCCGCCACGGGGTCCGCTTTCCCTGGCACCCCCCGCCAAGTCCTGGGCCAGTGGCTCCCCTCTCGGGCTGCTGTGGCTGTCCGTGCGTGTGCGCTGCGGTGCTCAGAGGCGCACGGTAGATGCGACAGTGCTGAAGGAAGGGATGGAATGAGAGAGGTCGAGCTTCTGCCGAGGGTTTCACGTGAGGCTGCCCATAGAAACCAGCGTGCATTCGGGAGGCGTTTGGGCAGAACCCTGCGGGCAATGAGTGACCCAGCCTTGGCGCTCTCTCGGGGGACTGCTCCCGGCAGTGGCAACAGCAGGTGCAAAGGTCCCTTGGCAGGCAAGTGCCTGTTTGTCTGAGGCACGCATTGAGGCTGAGATGGAGCCCGGCAAGATCTGTCTCAGAGGCAGCAGAGTGAGATACCGGAGGCCCGGCGGCCGCCCCACTGAGGGAGGGGTGCTGAGCAGAGCAGGAGCATGGTCGGCCTTGGGCTTTGGTGGGGGGTCTTTGCTGCTGGGCCAGCAGGCAGGGGGCCAACAGGCCTGTGAGGAGCCTCAGGCCAGGTGAGGCAGGGATGTCCAGGAGGGAGAATGACCCGAGTCCATACGGCTCACGGGCGAGGGTTTGGCGTTGCGGTGATTCCCATGGACTAGGCAAGGCTCCTGGTGCCAGACAGCAGATGGGGTGTGCTGGGAGCCTCAGGGGGAAGGGAGGGGACAGAGACAGCTTCCATGTGCCTGAGGAGGAGTGGAGAGTGCCGGTGCGTGATGGGGAAGGGGCTGGGATGCGGCGGAACCTTGCAGCCCCCGCCTGGCCCACGGGCAGCCACCATGCTTGCTGCTTTTCATTCCTCGCCTGGGTGACCCCAACCTCTGCATCTCTGGGGTAGAGGGAGGGGTGTGAAGGCCCGGCCCTTGGAATCTTCTGGCTTCATCACCATGCCAGCCTTGGACAGGGAGTGGGGCTATTTTTAGTGTGGGGTAGGCAGGTGGACTGTGAGGGAGGGGGGACAGACAGATCAAGGTACAGCCGGGGGCGCCCAGCCTCATTATAAGATGCTCCAGGCAGCAGTGGGGGAGGCAGCCAGGGCGGGAGAGGAGCTCACTGCCTCCTGGTAATTTCTTAACTTTCTCCTCCAAAATGTCCTCTAGCTTTCAAATAGAACCCCAAGTTTTCTTAGATGAATAATAATACTGGTGCTGCCGATGAAGGCTGTTATTCGGGACGTGCTCAGCATGCCTGCTGCACCAGGGAGCAGGGCTTGTACGAGCTGCTGCCCCATGGAACTTTCTGGAAACGTTCCATAACTGAGCGGTCCAAAGGCAGCCACTGAGCCCTGTGTGGCTACTGAGCCTTTGAAACGTGGCTAGTGGGACTGCAATTTTAAGACTAGTCAATGTGAACTCAAATAGCCTCACGTGCTGGTGGAGGCTGGGCACGGTGGCTCATGCCTACAACCCCAGTACTTTCGGAGGCCAAGGCGGTAAGATCACTGGAGTCCAGGAGTTCGAGACCAGCCTGAGCAACATAGCAAGACCCTGTCTTAAAAACAATTTTTTTTTCCCCATTAGCTGGGCACGGTGGTATATACCTGTAGTCCTGGCTACGCGGGAGCCAGTGGCAGGACGATCGCTTGAGCCCAAGTGGTCAAGGCTGCAGTGAGCTGTGATTGTGCCACTGCACTCAAGCCTGGGTGACAGAGCATGACCTTGTCTCAAACCAAAATGAAACAAACCAAAACCAATATCCTTGCGTGGCTGGGAGAGACAGTGTCGTGCCGCCCAGAAATGGCCCTCGCTGTGGCCATGGTTCACACCAGGGGCTTTGTGTGTGCTTTCTTGCTGGCCCTCACAGCGGCCCGCGGCCCCACAGATGAGGGACTTTGGCTTGGAAGGCGTGAGGGGTGAGTATGGAGCCTGGGACTAGAACCGGGGCCTCTGACTGGGAAACTCATGGGCCCCTGGAGCTGGGCTTCCCCTGACGTTGCTGTACCCACAGCCTGGGTCAGAGCCCTTCAAAGCCTTGGTCCAGGTGGCAGCTCCAGGCTTCTGGCCCAGACGCCTTCTGTGTGGCTGCCACTCAAGGCTGCAGACAGCATGTGCTCCTTGGGTCTGGAGGCGCTGCTATCCCTCTCCAGGGCTTGGTACCACGTGGGTGCTTGGTGGTTACATAAGGGTTTTGGCCAACTGTACCACAGCTGAGCACCTCAGGCTGACGTGGGTGGCAGCTCCCAGCACGATGACAATCGGGATTAGGGTCAGCAGCACTTCTGGGTAGCCCACCCTGCAGTCTCAACACCTGCTGGGACCCTAGAGGGGCAGAAGTGGGGGACCATCTCCTAGCAATAGGGGCCTTACCTTGCTGTGCCAAGCCAGGGTGTTCACAGTCCTATTCACCGAGAGCCTTCTCTGTGCCTGACACATTGGGATGGGGGACTCTGTTGGCAAGGAGCTCCTGGGGGTGGGTGCTTTGGGGGAGGGTACAACCAACGTGAGAGACACCCTGGCAGGAGACTATGGGACCTTGGACAAGGAGTACCTGACCAACCTAGGGAGTCAGGGAGGGCCTCCTGGAGGAGGTGACAGCTGAGCCAAGAGCTGAAGGATGATGAAGGGTTAAATGGGGACAGGGGAAGGGGTGAGAATGTGGAAGGGCAGAAGAGGGCTAGACCTCTAGAAGAGGGGTCAAATGGCACAGTGCCCAGGAGGGCTTCCTTGAAGACTGTAGGTGCCAGCCCCAGTGAGGTCTCCGGTACTTGGGCAAGTATGAGGGTGGATATGGTGCCAGGCACCGTGGAGCAGGGGAAGTGGGGAGCGAAGCCCTGCCCTCACAGAGCTTATATAATAGTGGGGGACCCAGCAAGTCTGTGCAAACTGTCGAGTACGGACAGAGCGTCCAGTGCTCAGGAACATTCCTGGGCCCCCACAGCCCTCGGGTACGGCCCTGCCGTCGGTAGGTGACAGTCCCCTAGGAGGTGGCAATGGCTCTGTCCCCTCGGGTAGGTGATGGTCCCCTAGGAGGTCAAAATGGCTCTTAGCACCTGCTGGGTGCCAAGCCCAGCTCTCTGCCCCTCCAAGTCTGCAGCCTCAGCGTCTCGTACCCACGTCGGACAGGACTTGGGGGCCGAGGTGCCTGGTTGGAGGGTTAGGTCGGGGAACAGAGCGGGGTGGTGTCTGGGCAGAGCACCTTCTGCAGGGGGCTGGGAAGAGGCCGGCCTCTGCTCCTGTCCGCCTCTGCCAGAGCAGGTTTCTCTGCTCTTCTGCGCAGCACTGAGGCCTCCAGAGCCAGCCCCGCTCGGCCGTGGTTACTGAAGCAGAGCTGGGGCCCTCTGGCCTCTGAAGAGTTGGGAACCTGGAGCGCCTGGGGATGTGAATTGCGGACCTGGCCCACACGCTCTGCTCCTCCCGGCCTGTGGGCTTCAGGGACATCCTCTGGTTAGATACCCGCTCCAGTCTCAGCTCCCCCACCTGACTCGAGGGTTCCACGGGAGCTGTCTCCAGGTCTGGTCTCCCTCCCCCAGCGGTTCTGCTGGCCCCGGCGTCACCCCGCTGGAAGGTGACTGTCTTATGTGTATTTGGAGTGCACATCTGTCTTGGTGTACCTTTTATTAATCCATGGATATTGTCATCTGCCCCATGAGAACAGGGACTTGTCCCCTTCATGGTGGGTCCCCGGGGCCTTTCCTGCCCAGGCCCCCCTGCTGAGCTCTTGCTGACCGACCCACTTTGCTTTTGCCTGCAGCCGGGCCATTCTGCAGGAGGTGCTGGATGCCGACCTGAGCAACGAGGCCTTCCCCTTCTCCACCCACAAGCTGGTGACGGCCGCCGGGCACCTGGTAGGTTCCAGCTGGCCGCGTCCTCTGAGTTGTGGGTGGCAGCATGCCGTGAGGGGCACGCCGGGGGATCTCAGGCAGGTTCCTTTACCCCCCTGGGCCTCGGTCCCCAACTGTGAAGGGGGGACAGTGGATGAGGCGATCCTCCCACAGGCTGTTGGGAGCATGGAGAGGTCATGGGGACCAAAGTCACAGCATCTTCCATTCTTCCCCGTGCCTGGTGCATGCCAGGGACTCGGTCCCGGGGAAGGCGGCCTTGCCTCACCCCTGCGTCACCACTTACTATATCCCCTTCTGAAAAGTATGGGGCAGCCCTCCTGAGGTGGTGTGACTCCCTGGAAACAGGAGGGCCTGGCTCGGCTGAGCACTTCCTGGCTCCGGAGCACTCCCTGTGTCGGCCCTCCAGCCGCCCTCGTGGATGTGGAGGAGGGGCTGCTCAGGTGGGAGCACAGCCAGTTCCTGAAGAGCACCCCATACACTAAGGAGCACCCCACACGTCCCCCGCCAGCGTGAGAAAGTTCCTATCCGGGAGGCCAGGGCCCGTGCCTTCTGAGATGGTGGCGGTGTCAGGTGCCAGGACTCTGTGGGACCCAGCCTGAGGCAGGAGGCTCCCTCAGAGACCAGGGTTGGGGCCCAAGTTCTATTCTGGGCCAGCACATCCCTCTTCTGGGCTTCATTTCCTTGTTGGAAAACAGGCATCTTGGCACCTGCTTTGACTTCTCGAGGCTGAGATGAGGGGTTGTTGGTAAGCACAGCAGCCCGTTTGCTGGGGCCCTCCTGGGTGCCAGACGCTGTTCCGAGAACATCACAGCACATCTCCCCATGTAATCCCCACCGCAGCGTGGAGGCTCTGTTACAGGGTCTCCTGACCTCAGCACACCTGACCTTTTGGAACAGATCCTTTCTGCTGTGGGGCTCTCCTGTGTGATGCAGGTGTGTGGCGGTCTCCTGGCTGCTGCCCACTTGGCGCCAGTGGCACCCACCGTTGCGACAGCCATAAGTGTGTCCAGATGTGGCCAAGTGTGTGCTGGCGGCAGGACTGCCCGTGAGAACCTCGGTGCACGATCACCCTGCTTATTTGCCGGGGTATGGGCCATGGGGCAGCCGGGGGCCGGGCCTGCAGAGCCCTCCACGGTTCGGGCTGAGGAGACGCTGCCCCGCATGGTGGATGTTGCCCAGATGGAGCTCAGAGGGGCTAGATGGGTCCAGCTGCACAGGGCCACCTGGCTAAAGAAACCCAGAAAGCCCCTGAAATGTGTCAGTGACACGGATGTGGCCTCCAGGCGGGGTGGGCGGGTACACGGCCGCATTTGGAGACAGCTCCCTGTTCCTTCCTGTATGCTCATCTGGGGTTCGGGTGGGGAAAATGCTGAGGAAGGTTGGGGAGGAGCGAGATCCTGGCCTGCAGAAGGACTGGAGGTCCCGGGGGACAAATCTGGGTTCTGTTAGCAGATAAACTACGTGGCAATGACTGTCAGGGAGGAGACGGCCCGAGACCAGGGACATCCTCGCGGCTCTGCGCCCACCTCCCCTCTCCAGAGGCTGCACGGGGCCAGGAGGCAGGGCCGGCTGTGTCTAGCTCGCTTCCTGCCTCTGTGGTGCAAAGCTGCCTACTGGGACCAGAGAGGGTGGGAGCTTAGAGAGAGCAGCACAGCTGCAGCCAGGCCACACAGCCTCCAGACGGCTCGACTCCAGCTCCAGCAGGCCAGCTGTGGGGCCCATGCAGCATCCAGCTTTGTCTGGGGCTGGGCTCTGGTTTGCAGAAGGAGAGGGAGCTGCAGGTTCTCCCCTCTTGCTGAGGCTTGGCATAGGTGCCGCCTCTGTGTGGTTTGGCTGCAGGAGGGGGAGACCACCAGGCGGGAACACGTCCCCTGCCGTCTGAGGCCCAGCACCCTGGCCTCCCACCCGCACAGCCACTGCAGCAGGCGGCTGGGGCTTGTTCTCAGACGGACCGGACAGGCGGTTCCTGCTGCCTCCCCTCCCCTTCCCTCCTGTGGGGCTAGCCCTTTCCTGGACCTGGTGGCTTCCTCAGGCCTGGGCAATGGCTGCCTGGGGTCACCTCCATCTCTGTGGCCTCGAAACCAGGCCAGGCCAGGTGTTTGCTGAGCTGACACAAAGAAAGACCCTGCTTCCAGGATGATGTTCCCCGGAGGAACAGGCGAGGCCAGACACAGCGTGGGGATGCAGGGGTGCAGGGACGGACACAGGGGCCACTTGTCCCCAGAGTCTCCTGCTTACTGGTATAAAAAGCACATGACGGCTCTATGTATAAATACTGCTCATGGCTCAGTTTCCCACCGTAACTGCATCTGCATGTGGGTTTCAGGGCCCGAGTGCCAGCGTCACTTCTAGCAAGCCCACCTCGGCCACCACCCTTGGCCCCTCAGAACAAGGATGTTGGGTCTGTAGGTCTCTGGGCTGCTGCATGAAGCTCGTCTGGCTGGGACACGGTGGTCAGCGGCATCTCAGAGGACTGTTGGGGACGTTCATAGCCGGCCAACGAGTTAAAAGAAACCCTCGAATCCCATCCCCAGGGAAACCGCGGTTGACAGTGGAGTGTGTCACCTGCCATCTTCTTTCCGTCGTCTATCTAGCTGCAGATTTTAAAACGTACTCCGGGCATCCCGTGCCATTGTACACGTGGCTTTATTCCCCCGAGTGTTGTGGCTGTTCTGTCCTTTGAACATTCTCCAAGGACCACTTGGAATGCCGTCAGCTGCGTCACCCGCGCCCTGAGCGTGGATTTCATGCTGGGTCCACCTCTTTGCTTTGGAAGTGGCCCCTGGAGGAGCTTCTGTTGAACACCGTCCTCCCAATAGACCCAGACTATTGGGCTGAGAGAGAGGAGAGCTGGGCCCCCAGGTCAGCGTGTGTGTAGCTGGCGGCCCCACCTCGCGGGCCACTGTGTGCTGTGTTCTTCTCTGTCCTTGGACATTTCTGTGCCCCTCGCTTGCCCAGTGTTGCCCTAGGTCTCAGGTGGCGTGGGAGAGCAGCGCAGAGCTTTCTAGGCAAGGGTCGCTGCCTGTGGGATGGGTGGGAGGGGAAACGGGAGGCGCGCCGTGAGTGTCAGCTGGCGTGCGGATTGTGGGGACCCAGGGAAACGGGTGGTGGGGAGGTGCCGCACGTGCGTAAGGAGGCCCAGCTGCCTGGAAACAGGCCGCCCGCTGGCCGCGGGAGGTCTCCGTAGCGTACCCTCCATAGCGGACCTCCTGGCACCGTCGGCTCACGATGGGCGACTTGGGACTTTCAGCCAGGCACTAGCGTTTCCCCAAACTGAAGGACGTGTTCCGAGTGCTGTGCACTCCGCCGGTCCCTCCGCCGGTGCTCGGGGCTCTGGAGTGGACTCTGGGCACGCTGCCTGGGAGCCTGCTGGCTGCTGGATGGGGGTCCTGGGAGGGAAGATTCAGCTTCTGCCCTCGGTGGGCTCAGACCCCAAGTGAGGTTGGGGCCCAGGAAGGGACCTGCAGCCACAGCCCAGCCTGTCCTGGAGAGAGGTCCTGGGCAGGGTGAGTGGTAACACAGGCCAAGGAGTTCTCAGGGAACCGAGAACCCTGCAAAGGTGGCTGCAGAGAACTGAGTGCTGCAACAGATGGACAGGGTGGGGCGAGGCCCGGGTGTCCCGTGCTGGCAGGAGACAGACAGGGTGGGGCGAGGCCCAGGTGTCTCGCCTTTCGGCTGTGAACAAAGTGTGAGCCATATTGGGGGGGCTCTGCCCTGGGACTGACCCCAGGGGCCTGTGGTTGATCCAGGAGCCCACATCGGCTCTCCTCGCTCCACCCGCCCCCCACCAGCATTCTCCTGGTCCCTGCGGTCCCCATGCCAACACCTCAGCCCTGTGGCAGGACCAGGGCAGCAGATGCCCCCCATGCTGAGGCCAGGCTTCTGTCTCCCCACGGCACCAGCTGTCGGCATGGACAAGCTCCTGGCCGGGGACAGCCGGTGCCCCAGGGCCACTCTCCTTAGGAGGACACACAGTGTTAGAGCACACAGATTTACTGTCACCTGGGCTAAGTGGCTGGTTCTGTGGGGTTCCTCCCATGCTCATGTTCTTAGAGTCCACGGGGCCCGTTGGGGGCAGGCTGAGGGTGAGCTGGGGTTAACTGTCTTCACCTAAAGACCCTGGTGCCCAGCACTGACTGCAGCCCACTGGCTCCTCCTTGACCGTCTCCCTCCTTGTCCTCCCTGTGGCTCTCCGGAGTGGCCAGGGTGGGCCCAGTGGTCAGGGCTGCATGTGTCTGGAGGACCACTCCTGCCCTCAGGGCTTGAAGTTGGGTGGCCGGTGGGTCCAGCTCCCATGAGAAGGGGCTGGGACTTGAGGAATGGGCACCACTGAGGGTATGGAAGATGGAGCAGTGGCAGATCCCGTCCTCAGGGACCACTGCCTTCTCTCGAGAGCCCTGGGGAGGTGGGGCCAGGAGAGCAGAGGTGTTGGGTTCTTGGTGTCAATGTTATGGTTTTTGCTGACCTGGGAGCTGTCCCTCAAAGCGGCCAGGGCCACACATTCCCAGGTGGCCCCAGCCTGGGACACAGTGGCTTCCCCATTTCCTGGCCATCAAGATGGATGGGGGTTCAGCCACTGGCCACAGCCAGCTCCCCCTGTGGGGCCTCACAGGCAGACCGGCGATGGGAATTGGGTCAGCCACAGACACTGGGGGGTTTGGGACCAAAGCTTCCGTGTGACCCTGAAGGCTCTGTGGAGCTCAGGCCGGACACCTGGCTTCCCATCCTGCCTCGTCCATCTGCGGGGCGCCTCTCTGGGCCTCAGTGTCCCTACCTATAGCACGAAGTCTAGCACAATGTCTAAAATTCTTTCCGGGTCATTCCGTAAGTCTACCCAGACATTCTGGAGTCTCTGAATCCAGAGAGAATTTCATTCTCCTAAATAATATCTTGTGCTGGCTTAAAAATGTGTTGATGACATATCCCTCAACGTGAAGAAACGCTGGGCTGGAGCGTGGGGCCGAGCTGAGTATGTACAGGCGATCGATTGGATTCCAGCCCAG